CTGGCAAAATGAGATTTTTCAAATTTAAAAACGGCACTAAATGAATTTGGAAAATATTGAGATAATTTGTTGAGCGCGTTTTTTAACCTTGTCATCAATTAACCAATGTAAATAATTTATTGTTCAATATAAATTATCTGATCATATATCCATCAAAAATCATATATAAACTTAGCCAAGTGAATTAACTGCATTTATTATATTGATTTCTAAAAAAATAAAATTTCTTTGTCCGAACTATCCAGCCCGAATATGAATTGGCCGGATTATGCTATTTATAAATATGCATTTCGATTTAAAACAAGGTCCGAAAGAATTTTAAAGAAATTATGTAAAATTTTAGGATTTCTATTTATTTTTCAAGGTCAAACCATATGCCTCGTTATGAAATTATTTCCTTGCTGACTTAAATAAAATTACAGGTCGATATAGTTTAAATAAATGCTAGAATTTAATATTTAAGGTAAATAATTATTCCATATTGGGATGATTTGCAAAAATTCGTTAGATAATACAACTAAAATTTTATAACTTTGATATTTGCAGATAAATAAAAAGTTCTTTTAACATTTCATTTTAAAATTCCACTTTAAGCTTAAATACAATCAAAAACTATTTAAATTAACAAAATTTTCAAATCCGGGCCAGCAAGGATTCGAACCGAATACGGAAAGAAAACCCGGGTTTTTGAAAAAATCTGAACTCTAACCGAACCTGAGACCCGTTCATAAAATTTTCAAAACCCCTAATCAAACTCGGGAATTTTATTTGAACCCGATTGTTTAAAATCATATATTAAGATATCTGTATAATTGTAAATACAAATAATTCAGATTATATAATATTTTCAAATTTCCAATTAATGAAATGTTAATAAATTTCAAATAACCTAATTAATTTACGCTATTTTTAAAATTTTATTAATTTATCTCAAATATTCCTATTGGAGAGTAAATAAATTTTAAACAATTAAATTCATTTATGCCATTTAAGGAAAATGAAAGTGAACAAGTCAAAGTAAAAATTATTATATTGGATATTGTTAATTTCAAGAAATAGGTCTAAATAAAATTTTTAAAATTGATACATGGCTATGGTTTGTGTTTTTAACTATATTTTGCCTATAAATAAATAAAAAAATTTATTTTTTTTCCAAATTTATGCCTAGTTTTTTTAAATTATTTAAATGAATCCTGGAAAAAAAACCCGAAAAAACCCCCAGGAAAAAAACCCCCAGATTTTTATTTTCATATTTATAGAATTTACTTAAGACCTAATAATAGTGTTGTTAAACGGCTCGTTTTGAGCCGATTTTTCAAAACGCCTAACTCAATATTTTAGCCAGGAAAATATTGCGTAAGCCTCGAGATTTTGATAATACATGTCTAAACCTTTGTTCCTTCTATGAGCAAATTCTTCAGGCTTGCGTAATATAAATATATTTATTTTATTGATAAATCATGATTATGAATATACAAATTTAATAATTTAGAATAATAATTATATTGATTAACATCGAATATTGAAGGAAATTGTTTTATAAAATCTGGAAAACTTCGCAAATATGAAAAAAAAATCCGGGGTTTTTTTTCCTATTACCGATTTTAATATACATTTTTTTTATTAATTCAAAAATTCTTAAACCCGTGCTGAACCCGGAACAAAACCCGGGTTCAAAAATATTTCCCTGTACCGAACCCGAACCCACCTATTTTTTTACCTTAAACCGAACCCGGGCAAAAATTTTGCCGGGTCCGCATCCCCGAGGGCCAGAATATAAAATCCCTCTTGATGCGATATAAAATAACATTTGAAAATTGAATATTTTTTTCTTCAAGTTTGTTTATTTAAGGTATTTGTATGAGCTAGGTTATATGTTTAAATACACGAGTCAGTTTTAACCTAAATTATTATTTTTACAAAACCCTAGTTGGCCTATTTTAAATTACATATTAATTAATGAATTCAATGCTCAATGATGTTGCCAAATATGGCTACGATGTATAAATCAGGGATGCGAACCTGGCAAAATTTATGCCCGAGTTCGGTTTAAGGTAAAATAAAAATAAATGAGTTCGGTTCAGGGAAATATTTTGAACCAGGATTTGGTTCCGGGTTCAGCTCGGGTTTAAAAATTATTCTATGTTTAATCATAATTAAAAAATTAGACATAAAAATAAAATTTTTATTTTATTTATAGGCAAAATATAGTTAAAAATACAAAAGATAGTCATGTCTCATGTATCAATTTTAAAAATTTAATGACATATTTCCTTAAATTAACAATATCCTATATAATCATTTTTACTTTGACTTGTTTTTCATTTTCCTCTAATTAATAATAATTGATAATATGTTAAAAATTAATGGCTCAAATGAATTTAATTGTTTAAAATTTATTAACTCTTCAATAGGAATCTTTGAGAATAATTAAATAAGTTTTAAAAATTGCATAAATGAATTAAGTTGTTTAAAATTTATAAACCCTTCACTTAATTGGAAATTAGAAAATATTATAAAATCTCAATTAAATTACTAATATTTGTATTTACACAAATATCTTAATATATGATTTTAAACAATACACTGAACTCGGGTTCAAATAAAATTCACTGATTCGGTTCGGGATTTTGAAAATGATATAAATGGGGTTCAGGTTTATATTTTTTTCTAAAAACCCGGGCTTTCTTCTCCGAATTCAGGTTCGAATTCCTGGTATAAATAACTAGAATTTAACATAAAATTGAGCATAGACCAAGTTCTAGCTTCTAAGATTTTATTCTGACGGCGATATGATATTGACCAGTGATGAGTTGCTTTAAGACTGTCTAGATCAGATATACTTTAAAATGGTACCTGAAATATTCTATCAACTCAATGCTATCCATTCTCAAATTGCAGCGAAAAATATTTTTGAAGGCTATATCAACCTAACAAATTGTGAATCGGATAATAATCGAATTGGGCCTAAAAAGATAAATCTGTTAAATATGGTATTCCATATTTTATTTTAATCAAGTTAGCTCCCTCTTTGTTTAGCCTTAAATACACTTCAATTAAAAATAGTTTTTTTTATACCCCTCTTTTGTTTTGTCTTAAGTACATAAAAATTAAATAAAGTTTTTTTGGTCTCTCTTTTGTTTGAGTTAAGCACATTAAAAGTAAAACTTTTTGTATTTTCTTTTACTTAGGGGTTTTTCTTACCTTTGGTCGTAAGGTGTTCAGCAAATATAAGTTAGACATTTAGATCCGGAGATCGCCCTGCATCCAGATGTATAATTTGAGTTCCAGAAAGTATAAAATGGGTAGGTTTTATCATGCAAGATAAAACTAACACAACTCCTTTTAGCAAAAAAGTTCTTTTTTCACTTTGCGCCAATTTTATTTTAATCTATAATTGAGCGTTTTATTTTCCCATAAAAGGGACTATATTTTTGTATTTACGAGATACTTTTTTTAGGTAAAATATTATTTTCAAGAAGAAATTTTTGATTTATAAATTTTTTGTTTAACCAAATAAAATTTAAAAGAAAGGATCGTGTCATTTATTTATACCAGCGTTTTAATTTTCATAAACAATCTATAATGACTCAAATTAGATCCCGACGTGGTACCACCTTCCATGATACTCTTAAAGGAAGCCCCGCAACTTCAAAATCTTACGATGACATCTATCTATCAGCCCTTGACTACACCCCAGAGGAAAGTGTTGGCATTGCGTTTGATAATTCGACAGAAATACTTAGAGAAATTAATGGATCCTGGACCTACTTTAAGTAAATTTGTAATTGAGGACCTAGATATGCTAATAAAAATAAAATTTGTTTACATATTTATTTGTGATAACATAGGACAACAAATAATTTTGTCACCCCTCTTTTCTATAAAAGCTTTTGAATCAAAATCAATAAAGTAATAAGAGAAAAAATTATAACGAATTTAAAAAAAAGGCTATAGGAAGAAAAATAATCGTATTGACATAAGACCCAATAATTTTTTCTTTTAAATATGGTAGCTTACAGACCCAAATTACTCTCCATTTGTGGGTCAACCCCAGCTTAAAAGATATTGTAAATATTATTTTATTAAATTTTGCTCTTGATAGTGAAAATCAAAAGTTCAGCGTTTCAGAGAGTTCCACAAACCGGAAAATTTCAAATGTAGTCGGGCTGCATTTAGATCAAGTTAGAAACTCTGCTGACTTTCACTAGTCGTAGATTAAATATTTTCATAGCTCGGCCAGAGAGCCAGGTAAAAATATTTTTGGGCCAGACAGCTTGTAAAAAATTTAAATTTGCAATAAAGATAATAAAAGTTAAACTCTTTAAATATTATAAGGTTTTTTGAGACAGGTCTTTTTCAGAAGGATCGGCATTTAATATTTATGTTTGTTTTACTATTCAATGATATAATTTTTTACCAAATTTTTGGGTTTATTTTATTTTATAATACTTTTCTAAAGCAGCTACTTTAGTTTTTCAGAATGATGAAACAAGAATTAAATTACGTAAAAATTTAAATATTTTTAAAATACAAAAAAAATTAAATGACAGGTCCTGAACTGGTCTTTCATTAAGGGTTAAGATCTGAACGGGTCCGAAGGCCGTACAAGCTCACTACTGGTAGGCAACCTCTGCCTTAGCCTGTACCTATTTTTAGTTTAATTAAACAAAATATATTAATCTATCTTTAGTTGACAAGGAAATTTTTCTTACCCCTAGCAAACATATAATTTATGTAAATAATATTGTAAATTATTCCCTTACACTTACAATACTGGATTACGTTTACTCTAAAAAAAGCTTTAGGTTAAAAGTAAATTGATTTTATTGACATTAATAAAACATTATATTATATTATTATAATCTTTCTTTTATGTATATAAAATAATTATAAATAAATAAATACAATATACTCATGCAGATATATACAATTAAAAATTTAATATTCACGATATTAATAAAAATGTGATGCAAATATTTAAATTATCTTAATGCAACATAATAATTTTTTTTATCAAGATGGCGGTTTTATAATAGCCCTTAAAATGACCGATTTTAGTATGTTACCCTTTAAGTTGCAGACCAATAACTCATTCTCGCATATATATTTTCTTGATTTATCAAGAGGGATGGAGTCGTGGCTTTTCAATTCAACGGGGAACTTGACGTATTTGTAAGGGCCCAAACATACACTTTTGTAGGAATCATGTATGCTAAAATAGAATGGATGTTTTGAAGAGTTGTTAACATGACCAAGAGTGATATTTATGGGAAAATCGTGACTTTTATCGTAATTTTTTATTTTTAGCTTTTTAATCCTTGTTTTAAATGGGGAAATATTACTGATAGCCTCGAAAATTAATAGTCGGTGGTCAATTTTAATGGAATTGTTGACGTAGTCCATTTGAGGAGAAGCCAAAGCGAGTGTATCGACATTTGCAACGGTTTTGATGGGGAGAAAATAGGAGGAATTCTTAATTTTTTAAAATCATTACATTTGTGTAAAAATTAAATGATACTTAATACATTTCTTTTATTTAATTGACAAAAATAACAAATTTAGAGTTATCGAATTATCACAAAAACATAAAATTCTACAAATTAATGAAATCCCATATCATACAAAAAAATAGATGAAATGAATTCTAATGGTTATAAAATAAATTGGGCCATAATTTTACCTTTAAGCCACTATTCAAATAAAAATAGGTGGAAACCGATTGAAGGATTGGTTATTTTCGAAAACCAGTCCGGACCGGGTTTTGATTCTTTTTCAGAAAAGACCGGTATTTTATCAATATTTAAGTTTGCTTTACTATTAAATCCATATAATTTTTTTAGTAAATTTTACTTTATATTACTTTTCTAGAGGAGATATTTAATTTTATGTTATTTTTCTTTCTTAGTTCATTTTTATTTTGCAATATAACGAAAAGTTTGTCAAAAAAGCATTTTACTTTGAAATGTTAACATAAAATTATTTTTATTTAATAAAATAACAAAAAAATGTCCTGGACCGGGTTTATTTAGGGCCACGGTCTGGCCCTATAATTGGCCTTCACTAAGTTTTAATGACCTCATTTCCCAACCACAACAACTACTAAAATGAACTCTTAACTTAAGATTAATTGATGAAAAGTAAAGAAAACTAAACAGTATCGCTTTTCAGTACTGACTTTTCAATAATTAGATTGAAAGAAGGCATAAATTGACTAAAGGAAACGAAATATAATTTGCAAGCATACCAACAAATTTTATATCATGAAATATTTAAAAAAATAACATATTTCATACCATTTTAGCTTCGAGATATAAATACTCTTCCAAGTCATTTTCATCACCCTTGTCCACGTTAAATAGCCATGTCTGTTTTATGCACAAATCGCAGGCATTATTAGATACAACACTATTCAATTTTTTGTCGTAACTGTTTGAAGTGGGTAAAATATCTTTTATACAAGCTAAAAAGGCCACCTTGTCCATCACATTGCATTCAACAATAATCCTGACCTTCATCAATACGTGAGAAAAGGTAATAGATATTTTAACATCAAAGTTTGGGAAAAATAAATATTTTAAATTCTAAATATAATAATTGAACAGATTGTACAATATAATAATTAAGCGAATAAATTATATTATAAGTTAAAATTAAAAAAGTGAGCTTAATATTCTACTTTTACCCCAAAATAACAGTCTTCTGTAGGCCAATGAGATAAAGATAAATCTATAAATCCAGTATTCGGTTGTGGTTTAAAAGGGGTTAGAGAGGAGTCACGAATACCCGCTTCAATAAACTGATTATCGTTTATGTTGAAAATAGCGAGGGAAGAAGGCATTAAATTCCACTTAATTTTTTTATCACGGGATAAATTTCGCAGGGATTCGTCGACAAAAATTTTAACTGCTATTTCGCTCTCTATAAAACATATTATGTTAGATTTAAATTATAAAGCCAGAGATTCTGATTAATTATAAGTAAAAACTCGATATTAAAACAAAATTTTGAATTAATATTAAAATAAAATCGAAAGCAAAGAGTTAAGAGCAATTAAAAAAAAATAAGTCTTAAACATTTTAAACCGATATTCTCAAATTATTATTGTTTTTAATTGATATTTTTAAGTAGACCTGTTTTTTCTCCAGGAATAACGTTGAAATATTGAATACGAGAAGGATTGATTTTAATATTAGGTTCAATATTAATAAAACGGGCGGGTGGATCACTTGGTGGGAAGGGGGATATTATAAAAAGAATTATTCATTATATATGTGGCTGACTAATACATAGTTGTCTTAGTATCGGCGAGATTTTAAAATTTTGATGTATCCTTATGATGATATATGTTTATTTCTTCTTAATACAAATTTATTATTTATATATGTTATGTTAGCGTCAATGAGTTTTTTCCGAAAGTTTGTTATTTTTTCAAGAATTATTTAGGCGCGTATTTTTAAATTTAAAAATCCGAAATATATTCAACATGTTTAGAATACCTATTTTATGAATTGTAGACAATTTTTCCATATTATCTTGAGTCATTTAAAATTTATATAAAAAAACTATGGAAAAATGAAAATTAATTATGTTAAGTTGAAAAGTTCATAGCTAAATTGTCTGAGATTCATAGGTTAGGTATTCAAAACATGATGGAAAGCATTTCCGCTAAAATCAAATTTAAAAATTTTTTAAAAAGTGCCCAAAAAAATGATTTAAAGTTGAAAAATAACAAATTGCTGAAAAAAAACATATTGTCGCTAACATATTAAAAACAAATTTTTATTTTGATAAATTAAATTTATTACTAAATATTTCATCATTTATAGTAATTTTTATTAAAACAACTATTTTTACAAGATAACGCTATAATATCATTCCCATATTTAGAAGTTAAAATGTTTTTAATAGTCGGAGGGGATATCTCTTTAATAAAAACTTTGAAACAATTTTTATTTTTCTCGATATGTTTTAAAAGTATCGTTAAAAAGTATGCTAATATATTATCGGGGATCGGAATCTGAGTGCGCTATTACACTCTTATAAGAAATAAATAATCGACTTTGAAGTTTAAATTGCTTTTCATTAAAGTGCAAGTTACTTATTGAAATAAAGTGGTTCAAGTTACTTTTCTCAAACAATATATATGATAATCTGGTAAATTATTAGAATATTTTCTAGTCGTAAAAATATCATGCGTTTGTTGGTTGTTTAAGTATAAAATAAAATTCTAAACGTAAAAAAAATTGGGATGGATCCTCTGGAAAAATAAACTACATAATTTTATGTCATTTATTTGGAATTTGCTTGAACAATCAACATTATAATATATAGTATATTTTTATATACTTCTGTTGATTGATATAAACATTTATCCATTCTTATTGTTGGATCATAAATAATTAGTAGTTGAGTGGGAAGGAGAAAATATCAATTTTATTGTGAACCATGTGTAGAAAAGAGTCTATTTTGACCTCTTCAGCGACTTTGGCCTATAGTGCGAGAAGAATGGATAATTTTTTCATAGAAATATATCTTGTATTTAAGATATTCATATTTAGCAAAAGATACAAGTATTTTATATCCTGTATTTAATATTTTCATTAAAAAAATTAAGATTCTATTTTAAGGACCTGCCTACTATTCATAGGTAACTTAGCATATAATTTAACTATATTACTAATAATAAATCAATATGTAAAAATGCCATGTTCGGCTGAATTATTATTATTTGAATAAAAACTATACAATTTTTTTATTATAAAATCATATTATTAATTATTCATCGTTATCGTTTTTTGTTTTGAACTTACATTACTTGTCATTTAAATTAAAAATTATTAACAAAATTTTTGCATAAACACCATAGAGATATGAAAGCGAATAGTCGCGAATGGTGTAGGACTAGTAGACGGAAAAAAGACTATCAAAATCATTAATTTAGTTTTGACTTACAAAATGTGAATACTTTACATAGGGCCGAGATTAATATATTTTATTATAAGCGAAAACTATTCATTTATGAGATGGCTCATTAAAATGCTGATACTATCTAGCAGGAAAATTCTTCTAAACCAAGGCTCATTTAAATGGACTGGCAGCTGAATGAGCTATAACAAAATGTTAACAATTGGACTCGTGCACCTTTACATATATAAATACAGCTCTAAGTCATGGAATCCCAGGTCTTTTCTTGATCCAGGAATGAGAAAGAGATATTTATAGACCAGTTTTTCGATTAATGGAATTAAATTTTGTTAATAGAAACAATAAATTTAATATTATTGAAATGACTAATCGGCAGAAAAAAATAATACTAGTTAAATCACATCACATATCTTACTAATTTAAAAGTTATTTTGTAGCTTCCAATAACTTTGCAATGTAAACTTAAAATACTAACGTTGCGGCATTACAAGAATCTCGAAATTGAATAAAATTCATGGATAGAGAAATTGAATTTATGAATTTAGCTCATGTGAAAATCGTAAATAAAATAATGGAAAAATAAACAATGAAAAAAGATTCGATTAATATGCTTGATCCATTTCTTCCCTGTGGTTGACAGGGAATGCATGTCAGAATAATCGCAAATGATAATTATGGATAATATATATGATTTTAAATCAAAATATTTAAGGATAACTTGAAACTGCAATATTGCTTTTTAAAATTTCATAAATACCCCAATTTTTTTAAAAAAGTATCATAAATAACTAGGTCCCTTATTTTTAATGAGTTAAACAGTAACAAAAAGTAACTTTATTAACACACTATTTAATAGAATCTTGTGAATATTTGCTAATCGGTTTTATTGAGTTCTAAATGAAAAATTCCAAGTTAGCATGATCAATATACATTTTAATAAGAGTTGTTAACGTTCCTTTATAAAAGTTATATCCAGCTCATGCTCCTAATTTATTAGCGGGAGCTAGCTCCCGTTTCAAATAATGGAGTGCCACTCCATTGCCGCTCCTTTGATTTTCATTTTTTAAAGTACACGAAACAAAATAATATTTTTTTATTAAAAAAGTTTATTTATATTAAATGATATATCAAAATATTTATAATTTTATTTAAATAATACAATTTCATGGAATCCCAAAAACTTCCAAATTATTGCAGGGTTCCTGTGGACCAGTAGATATTTTTGCATCAGGAATTTGTTTTCTTAAAAAATTAAATAACTAGTATTTTATTTCCATATTTTGTGCACATTTTATCCATTCCCAATTTAATTTGAATGCAGGATGGATAATAGCAGCAATGATATTTTCATCATTATAAACATTTGAAAATCCGCAATAAAGTCATTTAAATAGATAATTTATTATTTTGATTTCTTCTTCTATGATGTCTGGATCCATAATATCAAAAACTATTTTTTATCATATATCTATAAAAAGAATATTATGACTTACAAGATTTTCCAAGAAATTTTCAATATAAAAAAGAAAAACTTGATGTTTAATATTTAAACTGATAAGATGAAAAACAAATATAAAACTCGGCTCAACATTTAATATTGTATAAATTTAAATAAAATAGAATTTCATTTTAATTAATAAATAAATAGTTTATTAATATTTAAATAATAATTTAATTTATACATTAAATTTAAAAGAGCAGTGGAGCGGCGCTCCTCCACTTCAGCCTTAAAATGAGCTAATTCCCGCCCCCGCTCCTGATTTTTTAAAAGGAAGGGTACTCCAGGTGTTTTTGAGAAAGTGTAGAGCCGCTCCTTAACAACTCTGATTTTAACCATGCTTTAAAAACATATTAACAGATAATATTTGTAAAATTAATATGAAATTAATAATAAAAAATTAAAGTAATTTAATAGCTGCAAATATATGTTGCATTATGTTAATAAATGTAATTCATGAAAGCTTTTAAACTTTAAAGTAGATTATCTCATTTAATTTATTATAAGGGTGAAGGTAAAGCACTGCGATTCTGGACCCATGATTTTCAAAATTGATCAATAAAAATCGGATATAAAAAACGGAATATTTAATATTACTTGAATTGTGGCTTGTGGTCATTATGCTGTAAGCTTTTATAAAAGGATTTTGGATTTGACACTTTAAAAAGAAAAAATATTATATTAATAGACCTCGAATGGATAGACAGACTGGAATAAGACCTCTTCGAAAATTCTGGACCAAACAAAATTATCAAAGAAATCTGATTCTTGAACAGGGAGCGAAAGACTAGTTTTGATGTCAAAAAAATTTTCAGCCATTCTTTATAATATAATTGAGGTCATGTAACATATCCAAAATTTATATTTCATGGTAAGATTTTTAGAATTATAAAGAAAAAATTTGTTGTTATTTATTAATTTTTTTTCTCATTTTTCATTTGTGACAATGGAAAAATGGCCAATATAAATTAATAATTATATCGGACTTCGAATTTGATTAATATTTAATTGATAAAGAGGACTCTAATCTCCATTAAATATTTTATTTAAAAAAATATTCTACTTTCATAACAAGTTTGCATACATATATATTTAAAAAAAACCTCTTTCGATAAGGAAGGAGGACTTTTCGGATTTTTTCACCCCAAAAAATTGCATGTCAATATGTCCCAAAACATCATCTAAAATTCCTGGGTACAAACCAAAATATTTAGGTAACGTATCTGTTGTTTTGGTAGAAATTATAAATATATTTGGATTTGACATTAAGCATTATAATCACAATATTAGTTTTAAAATGCAAATCACAAGTAAAGTGAAATTTATGGACTCGACACCTCCAAACAAATATCTGTCCTAACGCCCCCTCCCCTAGACGAAATTTATCAAAAATTTATATTAGTAATTATCTTATTTTTAAATCGAAAAAAAATGTAATCAAAAAGGCACTATTATATAAATTAGTTATATGAAATCTCCACCTAAATTTATAATATAAACAATATTTCCTAATTCATATTCTAAAATAGATAATTAAACCTCCAAAAGATCGAATTAAATAATTAAATATTCGTATTCGATTCATTTCAATCGATTTTGTCTCGTTTTTTTATTATTTAATCATTGTACACTTCATAACGAATAATTCGATTAACTAATAATTTTGGACATTTTATTTAGTACCAACAAAATAAACACTAATATTTAATGCATAAATAATAAAAAATTAAGTCATTCTTTCAGGCATAGTTTTCCTGTTTTAGATACGTACCGTTTTTTTATAATTATATTTCTGACTAATTGCATACTCTTACCATTTAGAATATTTGTTTAAATGGTTTAAGGGAAATTTTAAACAAGAAGTCACTATCGCAATAAAAAGAAATTTATACTGCAAATGCCAGTATAAATTAAATATATGATTCTAGTGGGTTCAATGTTAAAAAAAAAATTAATTACGAATATTTGCATATAATTCTAACATAAACTTCGAATATTTATTTCAAAAATTTATGAATTCAAATTTATTATTCACCAGCAAATTTATTATCTGTATTTGTAAATTTCAAATCGAATAATTTTTGATAGGGCTATATGATAATAAACAAAATAATACTAGCAATTTTAGTCATACTGATTAAATATATAAATTTTTAAGAAAATTGTGCCAGTTACCATTGAGCTGTTTCGTATAAGATAATTTTAAATCAATTTAAAAAAAAAAACTATATCCATCATAATCAGGAGATTCTATCAATTGAGCAATGCTGTTATCTTGCAACGAATCGATCGCTTGCCATTGAGCAGGATATTGTGATAAAACTCTTGTATAGAAAACCCATAAATATAAATAAACCATATTTATGTAAATATTACATTTAATTAAGAAACCTAAAATCTTAAAATGACCAATGCTTCTTTCAATGAATTGATGATTAAAATTGCTTTATGTAATCGGCTATAATGAGAAATCACAACAAATCGAACTCTATATTAATAGGTAGATTAAAATAGTCAATCCTTACCCGATCCGTTAAGGGTTATATTTGATAAATTAAATATACCTTTTTATACGCAAACGATAATAGTTATCGATGGCAAATACTTTAATGATTCCGCTTTTTATTAAAGTATGACAATCTTCCTCATTTGTTACGCTGAGCAAAATTTTGAAATTTGCGGACTTTTGAGGTGAAATTAAGTGAACTTGCCCAGTTTGGTTTAGTGTCAAGAGATCTTTTGTAATTTATCATGAAATTAAAAAAATATAAACCAATAAATAATAATACAGATTTAATAAAAACAGGATGATATAGCATACTGTGAGGTGTGACATCGATCATAACGAGAGCGCTTAGAGTTCCCACATTTTTTAATAAAAAATTTATAATCAAATTGTGTCGTATTGGCTCTAGAGTCGTAGCATTCATTTCATGACTAGGAACGGTATTGCATACATTGCCGTCTACTATATTATAATCTACATATATTTGGGATTTACCGAAGCATCCTATCAACGGAATCTATACATTATGATTTTTCAAGTCATGATTATTGGAAAAAATTAAAATAATTATCATTTGAAGGGAAGATTTACACTAAGGAAATTTCTCAATTTTGGTAAATAAATGTATTTAATTAATTACAATAGTGACTTTTAATTCCTTACCTCAGGCAAATTAAATTTTAAAAAACCAAATATTTCTATAGTAAGGATAAGTCAGTTTTAAAAAAATTTGTTTTGCCAAAAATTTTGAGAAAAAAATCTTGGAAGATTTTTTTTAAAGAACAAAGCCTATTTTAAAAAATTTGATCAAAAATCCTATATGAGTATTCTCACAAGATCTTCAGAAATTAAAAATCTCTGAAGATTTTCATAAGTATTTCAAACTCTGGGTGTCGGTAAGGGAAGGAAAAGCCGGGAAATTTATCCATGACAAATTTAAGCCTTTGTAAATATTACTTTAATTTAATAAACCCTACCCTTACCCACCTCCCAAATAATGAATAATCCTTCAATAAAATCTAAGGGGTTTAAATATTTAATAACATAGCAAGAGTTATAAATTTACGTAAAATTTGCAGTCGATTTCCTGTTCCAGCTGAATCATTAACTTAGCGGTGTAGATAGCTTGGGGAAAAAAGGGTCTAAAATGCACATCAAATGACAAAGATCCTCCTGGCTTTATAGAAAAATTCAAATGCTCACATTTGCTAATTCTAGATGTTGGCATATCCTGCTTCAAGAACTTTAAAAAGAGAAAGAAAGCTAATGAAAAAGGTTTGTTATAAAAAGCATATTTGATAATTTGAGCAGAGATTTTATGGTATTACCAAATTAGAACAGACTGTACTCCCCTTCATAAATATTATTTTTCAGTCTTCATATTAAAAGCCAATGCTGATAAAGAAATGATGAAGATATAACAATAGAAGCTATAAGTGCTGGTATGTGTGAAGAAAATGTACATGTCTCTCATCCAAGATTATCAATAAAATGTAATGAAAATTAAATTTGATGTTTTGTTATTGATTCAATAAAAAATGATTTGTTTATGATATGACATCTTCTTAATCTATTAAATTTTAAAATAATGGTGTTGAAATACATACTCCCAAGGAATACACAGGCCAAAAGAAATTAAATTTGACTTATTAGCCTATAAAGGTTTGTTAAACCTATTTTTTAGCCCTTTATAATTTAATAAAAGTTTATTTCATGATGTGATCTATTGCTACATGATGCGCGATCAGTAAATAGTCCCAAACTAAAAAGATAATTTCACTTTTTTACTTATAAAGATCAGCCTCCCCATATATAGTTTTGCAGAGATTAATCAGACGAAAATAATTTCATCTTTAAACGAATTTAGAAATTAAGCATTGTACTTACAGAGTAAACCATAGGCAATATATTATATTGGCCCACATATGGATTTCTTATTATAACCAAGGCTATCTATCGACTTATGCATCATAGCATCAATCATAAAGTGATGATAATCTAAAATCTTGTCCTTTCTTTTTTTGAATCGATTTGGAAAAATACTTATGCGATTTTTTTTTATAGAATGTTTCCCGCTTTTGACGTTGTCCCAAGAGAAAGGCTATTTTTAAGTGTCATATAACTTTATGTGAAAAAAATGCATAAATAACTATATTATATAAACAAAGTATATAACGCCCCCTCCTTCTTAAAAAAAGGAAAGTATACAATAATTATTACATAAAAGGGACAGGTACTGGATACTTTTTGAAACATACAATCAGTAATTTTAGATTTAGACACTGCGAAGTCACCATTTATATTCTTTATCCACTTATCATTTTCCGCGTAACAATGATTGTATTTAATGGCTATGTAGGCCTTGAGACTCGTATTTTTGTCAAAATGATTTTCGAAGTCGTTAATCGGATTTTTATAAAATATTTTGAAACTTTGGACCGATGAGTTTTTATCATTTATTAATTTTGTCGTGGCAGAATCCCAAATTAAAATTTTATGATCCGATTTGAGAGGAAAACTTAAGAATTTGTTGGAAGAAAATTTTGCAGCGTTATGTTGAGTAGTACGATTTGGTATGATTGCTTTAACATCTTTGTATGAATCTTAGATAAAAAATCATTTGAAGTGATTAATTAAAACGAACCAGGTGTTTTGGGATATTACGACCCGGGCTTTGGTTAGATCTTTTAAAACTGATCAAGAGTAACCAAGCTTTCTTTATCCATTATAGGTAAGTGATGGAATCAAATTATACCTAGCACTATTATGGTAAAATAAATCTTATTCATGTATTAGAAGATTAATTAATATATTTTGTTAGTGATCATGAAAACGAGGAAAAAAACAAAAACCTTTTTTTTTCATGTAACTGGTATGACTAAATACTTAATTGCTAAAATGCATTGGTATTAAGCAATTAATCATTATCAATCAAAATTTGATTATATAATATTTTTTTTTAAATAATTTTCAGAAACATTTTTTTAATGTACATAAATCAAAATAAAAAATTGAGATTAAATATGAAATAATTTAAAATTCAATTTTTACTTGATATTATTGGAAAAAAAAATATATTTAATTATTACAACTTAAATTTTAATTTTCAATTGCAAAATTTAACAAATATATATCCATAAGAGGGTGTTAAATGCATAAATATGAATATACCATTTTAGGATACCAGAATGATTATTGGTTAGCACTTTTTTTATATATGGGTGTAAATATATGGTTTCTTTGACAATTAATTAATCAGTAGGTTTAGAATCGAAAAATAATAGAAAATTTGTAAGGCTACTTTTTTTGTAATTATTTAATTTTTTAGCGCGCTACTTTTTTTGAAAGTAGCTAAGTAGCCGCTACTTTGCTACTTTTAAAAAATATAATGAAGGTAAGTATAAACATGGAAATTTAAATATAATATCATAATTAATTTTAATTTTTTGATTGTTAATTAATTTTGAAATTGAAATATAATTTCAATTTGTAATTTATATTTTCATTTGTATTATAAACCTAAATCACGTGTTAATAATTTAAAATGTCATCGCCTATGGATATCCAAATCGTTGAAAGTGATTCAGACAATGATACTAATGAAATGGAAGATACCAGGGAAGAAAATGTTCTAATAGCTATAATACAAATTTTCCATTAAGTAGATTTGAAAAATTTTTTAAATAAATATATAACCAAAACTGGTTTCAAATTTATTTGTTTAAAATGTAAAAAAATATTTCCTCAAATCAATCCAGTAAACCTCAAGAAACACCTAAAGGTAAATTGTCATTTTTACATTCTAATAATATTTATTTTATAAGACTGTTCATGAGTTTTAAGGAAATGGAGAAACATCTAAATAATTTTGGTATAAGCGACTCTACATCCAAAAAGACTAATTCAATTCAAACCAAATTAATTAATAATGCAAATGACAATATTTCTCAGAAATTGGATGATAAAGTTATTGTTGATTTTATAATTTATACAGTTGAGCCAATGTCCTTAGTTGATAATCCATCAATTACCATGATGATTAAAACTCTATCCCCTGGTACAACAATTTTATGCCGCCATACACTAATGAATAAAATAGCAGATAACTTTAAAATGATGAAAGATGCTCTAATAGTAGAGTTATCAGAGATATCATATATAAGTACCACGGGAGATAGTTGAACACATAACAGAAGGTAAAAACTTTAAATATTTTTGAGCTTATTTGGGAATCACAGGCCATTGGCTAGACCCTAGAACTTTAAAAAGAAGATCTGTGGCATTAGCCCTCAAAATGATAATAGGATGCCAGAAATACGATGTACTTGCAAATAAAATTATTGATAATCTATCTTATATTAAAAATATGTATAAGATTAAATACGCCTACCTCAAGTGCTAGTGTCGAGAGATTATTTAATAAGGCAAAACTTATACTTTCTGATCGTCGCTCTAGACTTGGGGATGATAATATTGATGATTTTATTATTAAAATGCAACAAATTACCATAAATATTTATTTTTATAATCAAAACTAACTATATTTTAATATTTATAAATGTTGATTTTTATATATTTACTATACAATAACATTATAAGCAAAAATAAAAAATTTGTCTAAAATTTTTTTTATAAAAGTAGCTAAGGCTACTTTTAAAAAATAGTAGCTAATAGCGAGCTACTTTTTTTGACAAATAGCGATAGCGGTAGCGCGCTTCTTTTAAAAGTAGCGTTTAACAACTCTGGTGTACATATAAGCATTGTCCAAAAAATATTTTGAAAATATGATTTTACCGAATGCTGAGCTCAAAACAGACAACTTATTAAATATTCGATCGACCGAATTTGGTAGTAATATTAATTGAAAAATGTTCATTTTTGTTTAATTTATCTATAAATACGTGTAAAAAATTATCCCAAAAAATATTTTAAAAATATCGTGATTTGACCAATAACTTATTTGAAACCGGTCCAATGACTAAATACTGCATTGCTGACGTTATCCATGGAAAATTCTTTATTTTTGGTTTATAAGGGTACATATACGTGGTAAGCATTGTCCTAAAAAATATTTTAAAAATATTATGATTTGACCGAATGCCGAACTCAAAATCGACCACTTAATAAATAATCATAATTATAATAAATTTTTAATTTTCTAAAAAAATAATCAATATTACAAAAAATTATTCCTCCCTCCACCTCCGTCGAGATTATCAGAATGCCTGGTATTTTTCATTTTCATGAAAATTTAAAATTCTAAACATTTTTAAAAAATATTTTGGCATTTTCCTAAAGCTAAAATAAATGAAAAGTGAAAGTACGTAAAAAAATAATAAACAAATAATTTTAAATATTAGTCGCTAAAATTTAAAATTATTATATAATTATAAATCATATTGTTTTAAAAATGTCTGATTTCCTGCCATATTTAATTTGGTAAGCTGAGGCCATGCCAGGCCCTTCTAACTGTCTTTTTAAAACTATATATCTACAATATCAATATAATACAATTCGTTACAATTTGGTAAACAAAAATATAGGAGTTTACATTGTATATAAATCATGGCTTATTACAAAATGGTCGGAAATTTTTAAGGGTACCCCTGGTGACTTAAAAAGGTTATTAATTCAAATTTGATAAAAAAAATAATTTTATAACCTTGTGTTGACATTTATTTGCATATGACTTTATTTCTGCTCACCCGAGGAGGGTATCCCTAATAAGTTTCTTACCCTAATACAAGGGAAGTCAATCGACTTTACAATGCTTAGCAAATAGATCTATCGATCATATAAAGGGGCTTATCAGCGCTGTATAAAATTAAGTATTTGATTTTGACGGCCTATTACCCCCTATATTGGTGTTTTATTAACAAAATATGTGTACTAATTATGAATTTATGATTGCTATATAATGTAATAGTGCCAAAGGCTATCAAATTTAAATATGTTATTGCGGGGGAGGTAAGACACGTTCCTCGTTGGCCAAGAGTTCGTCCGATCCGACACTATTATTGCTTTCGGTTAAATTTAACGTTTCGTCGAATAAAACAAAAATGAACATTTCAATTAATATTACTATCAAATTTGATAGAATATTTAGTAAGTTTTCGGTTTTGAGCTCGACATTCGGTCAAATCATAATATTTTCGAAATATTTTTTAGGCCAATGCTTATCACGTATATGTACATGTATAAACCAAAAATAAAGAATTTTCCATGGATAATGCCAGTAATGCAATATTTAGTCATTGGGCCGGTTTCAAATCGGATATCGAAATCATGATATTTTTAAAATATTTTTTGGATGCCAGCAATGCAGTACTTCGGTTTCAAATCGATTATAGGTCAAATCACGATATTTTTAAAATATTTTTTGGAACAATGTTTTACACGTATTTATAGATAAATAAAACAAAATTGAACATTTTTCAATTAATATTACTACCAAATTCGGTCGATCGAATATTTAGTAAGTTGTCGATTTTGAGCTCGGCATTCGGTCAAATCATAATATTTGCAAAATATTTTTTAGAACAATGCTTACACCAAAAATAAAGAATTTTCCATGGATAACGCCAGCAATGCAGTATTTAGTCATTGGATCGGTTATAAAACGATTATCGGTCAAATCACGATATTTTTAAAATATGTGGTAGGATAATGTTTTACACGTATTTATAGATAAATAAAACAAAAATGAACATTTTTCAATTACTATTAATAGTTACTATTAAATTCGGTCGATTGAATATTTAATAAGTGGTCGGTTTTGTGCTCAGCATTCGGTCAAATCATAATATTTTCAAAATATTTTTTAGAATAATGATAACACCTAAATATACAGGTATAAACCAAAAATGAAGAGATTTTGATCAATAGCCTTACAAATTTTCTATTATTTTTCGATTCTAAACCTACTCATTAATTATAAATGTCAAAAAAACCTATATTTTTTAAAATTTTTTTAGGTTTTTCACATGTATTTACACCCAAATATAAAAACAGCGCTAACCAATAATCATTCTGGTATCCTAAGATGATATATTCATATTTATGCATTTAACACCTTCTTATGGATATATATTTAAATTTTGCAATTGAAAAATAAAATTTAAGTTGTAATAAGCTAGTAAAAATATTTTTTTCCCAATAATATTAAGTAAAAATAGAATTTTAAATTATTTGATATTTAATCTAAATTTTTTATTTAATAAAAAAATTGATTTATGTACATTAAAAAAAATGTTTCTGAAAATTGTTTAAAAAAAAATATTATATAATCAAATTTTGATTAATTGCTTTTTAGCAGTGTTGTTAAAATAGCGCGCTACTTTTTTCAGTAGCGGTAGCTATAGCGCGACTTTTAAAAAATAGCGATAGCGGTAGCTACTAATTTAGAAAGTAGCGCTACTTTCAATTTTACATAATAAATACATCTAAAAATTATTAAAATATATTTTTTATAAAATCTAAAATTATAATCCTTTTATTTAATTTAATTTTGAAATTATATTTATATTTAAAAATATACATTATTGTTATATATTAGATATAAACAGTTGTTAAATAGCAATCTGTATTTAATTTATATTTCGCGCATTCATTAAATTATATATTTTTGAAATTCCGTTATTGGTATGTCCTTGCTTTTATCTTATTTTATATTTCATTTTACATTTTATATTAAGCATTATAAATCTTGTTATGTGTGAGATTGTTGAAGATATTGAAATTTCTTTGGAAAATGAGCAAAATATAGATGATCCTTTCCCAAAATTCAAGAAATACTTTAACCTTGAAGAAAAAAATATAACTGGATATCGGTTTCGGTGCAAGATGTGCCGCAAAATTATCTCTTCAAATCATACGAGCAGCTTTAGTTTGAAAAAACATTTAAAGGTAATATATTAAACAAATTTAATATCAATGTGTAGGCTAATCTTTAATTTTTAAAATAAATTAAAATCAAAAACCAATTATTTTTTTTATATATTCATAAATTTTATCTAAATTATTTAAAACATTTTAAAATAGTTATTTCAATCATTTTTATGTACTTATATCCTACATAATTTTTATTCTAAGTATTTTATAATTTTAGACTGTGCACACTTCAAATTATTAAGAGATTGAAAAATATCTCAAAAATTTTGGGGTAATGGAAGAAGATAAACCCACTTCCAAATCAAATTTAATACAAACAAAATTAACCAATTTGGATTCATCAAAAATTGGTGTATCCCAAAAATTGGCTGACAAAGTCATTATAAACTTTATAATAGATACAGTTCAACCATTATCCTTGGTGGATAATGATTCTTTTATAAAGATGACAAACACTTTTTCTCCACGGACCAAGATATTTTGCCGGCAGACATTGATGGCAAGAATTTTGGAGAGCTTTAAGGAAATGAAAGAATCTTTGATATTAAATCTATCAGATGTCTCCTACGTCTGTACAATGGCAGATTGCTGGACTCACAATAAAAGGTAAAAATGTTTATTTTCTGATTTATAATATGTCATATTTTTAGAGCTCTGCACATTGAATTGATCCTAAAAATCTTAAACGAAAATCTGTAAGCTCTAAAGAGAATAATTGGCTGTCAGACTTATGACATTCTAGCCAATATTATTGCAGAAATCCATAGGTCTTACAAAATTCAAAACAAGGTTTGTAAGATGATTACGGATAATGGGTCTAATTTCCTAAAGGCCTTCAGGTTTTAAATTTATTATAATTTTTTTATAATATGATATAAATAATATGGAATATTTGGGGAGGATAATAATAATAACAATACTAGTAATATTCCTGAAAAAAATATTGAAGATGGAGAACAAGAAGAGGATGATGAAATGGAGTTTGAGATAATTGATGTTCATGACATCCTTGGTTTTAAATTATTTTATATTTAATTTTTCACCAATATAAAATAAAATTTATAATATTTAGGATCTTCAATAAAGTCTTCTACGTTACCTAGCCATCATCGTTCTTCCTGCCACAACCTACCTAAATTTAGTTGTGACAGTGGATGCTGAAGAAGCATTATTAAATGAGGATTTTAAAAGAGTATCAAGATACATTTTCTAAATGCCAAGCTCTTTGGAATAAACATAATAAGTCATCAAAGACGTCTGATATTTTCAAAAAAAAAAATTAGGACGTTATTTATTGACACCAAACACTACAAGATGGAATAGTGTTTACAATGCTATGAAACTTTTAGCATTGTTTCTAGATGAGAAAAAAATGGAAATGAATTATATATTGGATCAAATGGGAATACAGTATTTTAATGTGGAGTAGCATACCTTTATTAAAGAATATACTGAAGTATTTTTAATTAACCTCTAAATGCTTTTTTTAAATCTAAAAATACTAATTTAAATATTTTTGATGATTTTTTTCATATAAAAAGTTTGTTTATTAAATTTAATACTGTGTTGCCCTCAAGTGCTAGTGCTGAACGATTATTTAGTATGGCAAAGCTTATACTTTCTAATCGTCGCTCTAGACTTGGGGATGATAGTACCGAAATGTTATTATTATTAAAGTGCAATAATAAATAAATTATATATATATGTAACAAATTATAGTCATGTTTTTATATCAATATTTTATTTGTGGAAATAAAGTTACGTAAAAAAAAATATTTAAAAAAAAATCAAAGTAGCGTAAAAAGTAGCTAATAGCGCGCTACTCATTTGAAAACGATAGCGGTAGCGATAGCGCGCTACTTATTTTATAAACGATAGCGGTAGCGATAGAGCGCTACTTTTAAAAGTAGCGTTTAACAACACTGCTTTTTAGCAATGCGGTTTGGCAAGGAATATTTAGTCATACCCGTAAAAAAAGGAAGTAACTAGAAAAAAATGTGCTTAAAAATTATTTTAAAGAAATATTGAAACGATCCATATTATTCCTTATATAGTTAAGTATTTATAATAATCTCAATTAAACAAAATGAATGATTATGATAAAGAAAAATTTCTAATATTTCTCATAAGAATTGTAGTAATAAAAATTTTTTTTAAACATGAAAAAAGAACGTTTTTAAAATAGTAGAAACTAAGGAAGTTATTGTGAATTATCAAAATTTAAAAAATAAAATATTTAAAGAAAAAACCTTTACGACCATCCCTCTTCTTTTCATGAAATAGATAACCACTTGCGCAATCGATGGAACTGCCTACGTCATCCTTCAAATCTAGCAACTCGTCCAGATCATCAGCGGAGTTTTCATTATTATATCTTTCCGACTCAATTCCTTTCATAATCCCTTTCAACGCTTTTTCCGCGATGTACTCGTCTAATTGTAAATCATCGGGATTAATTTTATTATCGACATTGTCCATGTCAATTTTATTTTTGGAATTTAGTTTTTGGCTAGGAGTTGATTTGCTAGAATATTGCGAAATGGGATTCTGGTTAATAAGGTTAGATTTTTGAGGTGGCGATGAATGTCGCTCGCCCATGTTTAATATTATCGATATAGGTACGCTATATAGTGTAAGGGTGTTTAGGCTATTTTTGATGAGTAGCGTTCTATTAATAAATTTCAAAGAATATTTTTTAAATAAGAAAATTAAAAAGTTCAGTTTTTGTTTATAAAAGCTCTACCTCTTAGTATACCTACTCAAAAACGAATACGAATTAAATACTATAATTTTTGTTAGTTTAAACGAATCGAATAATAAAATTCACTATTTATATTCTATTCGAATATTTGTTTTCTTCAAATATTATAAAATAATTTATATGCAAATATATTGGCAGGTTTTTTTCGTTTCACATCTAATTATAAATAGAAAAAATGATCATAATAATCTGATGATAAAGAACATGCGATCAAGTTATTAACGAAATTAATTTCATTTATAATTCCAAGCCAATTTTTAGGGCAAGGATATTTCCTTATCGTTTCCTCTTTATAATATATGCGATTTTTTGAGAACAATTTAGTTCCAAATGATAAAAGCATGATAAATGATTATAATTTTTAAAAAAACATACTAATATATATTTCCTTAATTCAAATAAAACGAACTATTAGTCGAATATTCGTATTATTCATTTTATTCGAATCGAATAATTATTGTTCATTCATATTTGAGCAGAAGGAATAATTTACTATTCGTTTCGTTTTTGATTTGACTTATCTTTCAGATGAACTCCTTTTAAGTTACTCTACAATCTTGGTACCTCTCATTTAAAACAATTTATTTCGAGGATAAAATAAACCATATCTTATTCCTGAAATTTAAAAAATAATTGTTTACGTTTTTAAATCCTGATCCGAAAAATGGGATTTTAATATCTTTAGAGAGTCTAAAGACTTTAATCTGACTCCAATATCAATGAACTGACCCGGATATATTTGAATTAAATAGTAACAACTTCGGGCATCTTTTATGAAGCTTCCATTATATATATCAGGGTGGCTTTCATGTTTTGAGACTTCATCGTAGATTAATTTCAAGCACTCAGAACTGACATTATTAGGACTTAAAAGCTTCAACTCTAACAAATTATTCCAGTATGCGATTCGGGCTACGTATTTCGTAGGAGTAGTTTGATCAAGTTTTTCCGTCGAAGACTTGCGAGAATAGTTAGAGGCGGCCAAAGATTTTGTGTCGCAGGAAAAGAATCTAAGGATGGAGAAATGTGATTGAGGGACCATTCTCAATTCAATCGATGATTCATCAAGGGGCTTTAATTTATTACATTTAAAAGGGAATCTTAAATTTTTTTAAAAAAAGAAGCTTATTTATAATTTTAATAATTCAAAAGTCAAAACTTAGTGTTAAACAAGATGCTATTATAATATATTGATTAACCTTTTTAAAAATAAAATACTGCACTTAATAAATTTTTGGACCCAATTTGCGAAACTTGCAAATTCAGTTATTTCGCCCAGCTCATATTTTAAATTATAGATCAGAGCCTGGTTCAACATTGAACCAGCGCAGGGCTCTGATTTGATTAAAAAAATCGAAAATTTCAAATGCTAAATTTCAGTTGAAGAACCAATTTTTTAAAAAAAAAACAGATTGAAACTTATCACAACTTTGATAGTTATAAAGTATCTTTTTAACAAAGATCATGACTTAAATATGATTATATAAAGGAAATTCTTATAACCATTTTTAACTTTATAAAACAATAAAACCATGAATCGAAGTTTTAAAATATTATGGCAGAACAAATCTTATCAATTTTTTTAAGAGATTTTTCATCAAATTTTACCTAAAATGCAAAAACCTTTTATAGAATCTTTTGTAATTTTTATGCATATTTCAAAAATGAAATCAAAAGTTTCAAATTTGTTTTCAAACTCTGTATTATGGGCATTGGTAAAAAGAAGTGTGCTAATATTATTGATCAATAATGTCATAATACAATGTTTGTTACCTTAAATTGTTTAATAGATGGTTCAAACATATTGACTATTAATGGTCCCAATAAGCCGGTAATTAGTATTTCTTTCAACGTTATATCCATTTGTGCGAAATTTATTTTGCATATGTTTGAAAGTCGTACGCAGTCTAAAAACAAGTAAAACCAACAGGAATAAAAAAAATACTGATTAAAATTAATGTACATCTCTAACTAGACCTAAAACGAATTATTTGTTATTCAAAATTAGATATTTTATGAATAGCATTCGAATCGAATATGAATAATGGAAAAATATTCGTCGAATAGTAAACTTTTTATTATTCGATTCGAATTATTTGTATTATGCGAAATTATTCGTATTATTTATAAATATTTATTCATATTCGTAAATCATAAGTAAATAATAAAAAAGAAGTAATCAAATTTTCGTCGTGTATTTCATTTCATTTCATTTCCTTTTTTTTTATATATTCATAAATCATAAGTTATATTTTCAGATAAGAAGTTTAATGGAAAGGGAAACGCCCCAACAAAGTAAACTAATAACTATAATCCTTTAATTAATTTTTTTTAGATATTAATTTTATTTATATAATTATTTAATGTGAAAAAGAAATATAATTTTCTAAAATTTTAAAGGCTATGATTTTTTTGGGTAATAAATGAATAAAAATGGGAAGTATTTTTATTATCAGCAGATTATTTTTTGGCAGTATTTATAAACTTTTGGGCATTAAATTTATCAAAATGGTAGTATTTTTTTTATCAATAAATTTAGTGTAAGAAATTAAAACTGCCCAGGAAAAACTGACAAAAAATTTAAAATACCAACCAAATGTTTTTTCTACTTGCTATTTGATTAAAGTAGTGCCCATTTTGATTTATTTTATGACCATTTCTTAATAAAAAACTGTCCGAATAATTTGTCATCATTATAAATCATATGGGGTATAATTTATTCACTACAAAATTAATATAAAATTTTCAAAATAAGTAAAGATTGATTTAAAAAAATTACTAATGTTTTGAAGGTTTAATTGATTTATTCTTTCTTAAATTACTTTAAATTTTAAATATTTTTTCTTTCAATTGCTAATGTACCATTTATCTGGAATTTAAGGAAGGATGGTAAACTTAGATATTATATAATTTTAAATATATTCAAAGATCGATTTTAAAATCTTGATGGAGAAAAAGGTGGCATGGACAAAGCTATCAACTAGTTCTAGATCTAAATCTATCCAATCAATATTTGGTCAAGTTGAACTTGGTAATGCAAGACGAATTTTTTTTTAATATGGAATCATTATCTTTATGATTCAAAAACAAAAACTGCCAAAAGTAAAATATGCAAAGAAAAAAACAACCTTTGCACTAATTAATTATAATAAAAGATTTTATCAAAAGATTCAAAATAATTTATAAAAGTAAAGTTGAATTGTAAAAAATATAAGGAAAAGTTGGTTCCATTTAAAAAGAAAGAAGAGAGGTGAAATTCAATAAATATGTATATTTGAAAATTTTTTTTAAAAAAAATTATTTTACAATAAATAGTTAAATATTAAGCAAATGAAAAGATAAGATAGAAAGTAAAGTATGGGTTTAAAAGGATTCAATTGTCTTAATTGAGCAAATTAAAATAAGTGATAAAAAGTAAAACATGGGTTTAAAAGAGTTTTTTTAGGTTTATTTTAGAGGTTGGTGATATTAAAGGAACCATTATATATTACTGTGATAATAGGTTTACTTGTAAAAGTTAATATAAATGGAGGAGGTATTATAAATTAGTGTGATAAAAGTTTACTTTTGGGAAATTTTTTTTGGGAACCATTGGATATGGTGGGGGTAATAATAATTTTTGTACCATGGGATATGGTGGGGGTAATAATAATTTTTGTATTTTAAACCCAGTGTTTTGATAATAAGTTTTATTTTGTATTATTTTGTAAGCCTTAAGATTCATTGAATGGATAGGAATCCGTCATAGGAAATTAAGACCTCGCGTAATCAGGACTAGTGATCTGCATCGGGCCAAATTTTTCAAGCCCGGCCCAAAATTTTTTTTAAAAAAGTTTTGCAAGGTCGGCCCGAACCCAAAATTTTTTTAAAACAATTTGCCGGCCCGGCCCGAATTCGAAATTTTTTAAAAAAAATTTACTGGCCCGGCCCGAATTTATTTAAATATAGAAATTAATTTTTATAATTACTCAAAATAAAAGACATATGTTATATGGCGTTTTGTTTCAATAAATAAAATCAAAAATTTTTATTTTACATAAAAAATTCAATATAAAATTGATAAATTTAGATATATTTTAAAAAATTTCCAAAATCCGACCCGAGCGCCCTGAATTTTTTTAAAAATATTAAGCCCGGCCCGAACCCGATTATTATAAATAGAATTAGGTTGGAGGCCCGAAGCGGACTCGGGCCGGGCCTAACTTTGCAGATCTCTAATCAGGACAGCAAAGATTGCTTAATATTTAAATTTTGGGATTATAATTAACATGAATAAATTTTTGTTGAAATATAATATATAAAAAAAAGTGTGATTGATATTTTATTTTAAAAAAAGATGAAATGAAAATTATGAATATGAAATATATTGCTAATGTTAAAAAATGATGAAATGAAAATTCTGGATATGAAACATTTGCTAATGTTAAAAAAATGAAAAGAAAATGTTGGATGTGAAATATTTGAATAATGTTGCATATAAAAAAAGGAATGAAATAAAATTAAAAGAAAGATTATGTGATGAAATAAAAAGTATGCCAAATTCCAGATAGACATGAAAGTTAGAATTAAAATTAAGTTAAGTTGGATGTTAAACACGTGCTAAAGATGGATTTAAAGTCAAGAATGAGTCATAAATTGTTCAAGTTTTAAAAGAAGAATAATGTTAAAGGTTTATATAGTATATATACATGCATAATATTGTATTAAAGGATAATAATGAGAGGAACCATTAGAAAATATTAGAATATTTTTAAGTATTAAATTTTGATTAAAGGTTTATATATATACATGCGTAATATTGTATATAAATATATGTAGAGGATAATGGAGGGAGCCATTAGGCAATATTAGAATATTTTTTATTTTTAAAATTTTGGAGATTATATAAATGAAGTTAATTGATATTATTTTAGACCCAAGGAAAGGGGGAAAGTAGTAGTACATCGTATAATAAAGGTCTTATGTTAATATTGGGATCAGAATTTGTGTTTTAATATATGAAATTTAGGATTATGATTGATTGGGAAGAAGTGTATCTGGCTGGGATAATGTTAAAAGGAAAGAATAAAGAATATATTTTTTTTAAAAACATTTGACTGAATTACTCTTTGTAATATTCTGTTCAATCAACTACAATGATTCTGTCAAATCAACTACAATGATTCTGTCAAATCAACTACAATGATGCCGGATTAATTTTACCAAGCCTAAGATAAGAATGATCATGACTGACCAATGATGCTATGGATCAATCAAGCTATGCCTCATTAACCATTAAAGTTTAATGGCAATCAACAGTACAATAACAATCAAGCTATGATGACCCACACACCGTTAAATTAAATGATAAACAATAGCATCATGACAACTTATTACGTATGGTTAAGAAAAAATATGGAACTTCCTGGAACAGAAAAAAGAAAATTGAATGAAAATAAATAATATTAATTTTTATATTAAGAAAAAATATGGAAAACAACAGCTCAATGACAATTATATATGATCAAGAAAGAATATGGAACTTCCTGGAACAAAAAAAAAGAAAATTTAATGAAATAAATAATAATAATTTTTTTTTGATCATTTATTAGAATTTATGCGGACATTTACTTTGATTATATATATATGCGTAAATTGTATTTCTTTACCCCAGTTTGATTTCTCAAGAAAGGGGGCGTGTTGTATCTGCCGATTTATAATTGGTATCTATGGACGTTTTTGAATATATTTTTCGAGAAGAATATAAGTTGCAATTATGTTTCTTTGTTTAAAGGAAAATGGAGTTTATATGTATAAATGTTATGAAAATATATTTGACGACGTGTCACTAACGTACCATTTTTAGTTAACCTGCCACTTTAGGGATGAAAATTAGGAGATAAAGTAATTGTTATTAGATATAGTACCATTTATAGATTCGCAATCTGGTGAAAATATATATGGAGAGTTTTCTCAAATTGTAATATTGATAAGTGACATAACAATTACTTACTCGAATTCAACTTTGATAAAAATTCTTTGCATAAAACATCCAACTTGTAAAATTTCACATGTACGATGTTTTGCACACGTGAATTTAGTAGTAGAAGATACACTCAAGAAAGTACACAGTCAATTATCAAAAAGAACAATCATTAAGTAATACTTTTATAAATACAAATATTATGAAAAATGTATGTTCTTCCTTACTACCCCTGATGAAATTTCTAAAATTAAAGTTAGACACATCCATAATGGTCGAAAGCGCTATTAAATGAGAAGGGCAGCCATTGATGAAGTTGTTAAGTAGAATTATGATGATATATCTGATATTGAAGAAAGACAACTGAGTGAAGTAAATAGATTTATTTATTTACTAATTATCATTTTTTACCAGGCTGATTGGATGGCTTTAATAAATATATAAGACAAATTAAAGACCTTTTTTGATTTTACTGAAGATATCTGTGGACACATATCTTACCCTAAATTTGTCATTCCGTTCTATGTTTCGTTAATCAAACATTTAAATTCATTTGACCACAATTTTATAAACACTATCAGTGCGATTTTGAAAATAGAAAATTATCATAACTTAACAAATATTGAAACTATTATCAACATTACTAGATCCTAGACTAAAAATAGAAGTTTTGAACAATCCTCTATCGTATAACCTAGATACAACAACTCTATTACAAATATTTAAGGGTGTAAAATAATACCAATACAACATCGGTTAACACAATAGTACAATCAAACATGGATAGAATTTTCAAACAAAATATCAACTAATCAATATGCGGGGTTGAAACATATTTTAATGAATTAAGAATCACTTCTAATAAGAGCCCGCTAGAATGGTAGAGATTGCATGGGGATCATTTTCCCTGTTGTCGAAAATGGCAACTAATATATTTCCCATTCAGGGATCTTCGGCTTCATGTGAGCGGTTATTCACAGTAAGGACAAATATGATAATGAAGAATAGAATGTCTTTGAAGGAAGAAACCATTAGAAAGACTTTATGCTTAAAAAACCGGTTATTGTCGAATTCGGATCTAGCATTTTTTCTGTATTATATTTTGATGTTTAAAAAAATGAGATCTACATTTTTAGAAGATTTTAATAAAATTTGAATATTAGATCGAAGAAATAATTGTATAGCAAATAATTTAGATATTTTTATACGAAATTCTAATTATAAAAATAGAGTGTTTTTGACCAATTTTTGTTTGGATAACATTATGAAATCATTGAGTTTTATTTTCAGTAAATTTTGATATGCTAATGACTTTAGTTTTTTAGTAGAATCTTTAAAAGTGTCATTTTAAAACATCCATACCTATTTATAATTTTATTTGCAAAAAATAACTTATTTTTTATTGAAAAAAATTTCGAATCGAATAATGACTTTATTGTTTGTATGAATAAGAATAATAAATTATTAGATTCGTCGAAAATTCAAATCGAATATTCGATCCGATTGGTTTTTTGTAGGCCTGTCTCTAACATAATTAAACGGGTTTGACTGAACTGCAAATGCTTAGGTAAAAATGTTTTTTATATAAAATTAAAATATATAATTAAATAATATTCAATCCACAAGCTGGCTTTAATTGTTTTTAAATACCCTTAGTTATATATATATATAAAATTATTATTATAAATTTTTTATCATTATATAAAATAGGTTCATTCGCCGGTAAGTATCAATTGAACCTTTATGATTTTATTATTTGATCCTGATATATCTAGGCTTGACTTAGGTATAATTTTTGGGGAAAAAAATATTTAGACAAAGTTCTGGATTTTTTAAAAATAGATTGTTTGTTTCCTATAAGTTAAAGCTTCCATTTTAAACATTTATCTATATTTTTGTAAAGTAAATACCATTTTTTAATAATATTATCTTTATATAATATAATATACCTTTTAACTCAAATGTTTTATTGGAGTTTTGTATAATACCAACAGTTATAATACGAGATTCGCCCGGGTTTAAAGTAACATTTAAAATATGATAACATTGATGAATGAGTTGGTTAAGGTTATTTAATCCGTCTTCAACAAATGCGTAACTGAAAGGCTTTGAATCGCCCTGTAAATTAAATATCATTTAAAAAACAATTGATTGAACGTGAATGCAATTAAAAAAAATATATATTAAAAGAAGTGTTATTGGAAACGTTTTTATTATTATCTCTTTAACATATTAAATTTCTGATCCTGATTTGTAAAAAAATTTTCAAAAATAAATCAAATTTAGAAGTGTAAAATGTAGTATTTGCAATTAAGATTTTAATTAAAACTTTATCGTTTTCAATCGATATCGTTAAAGGTAGAATGTAATAGTTGGAATTTGATATTTCGAAATGTTGTTTCTTTTGGTCAAAAGATGGTTGATCTGTATAACCAAAGTTTAACAAATGGTCGTGGCTAAGATTTGAGACCTTGTCATTGATAAGTACAGGACAAGGCATAAAGAATATAGACAAAATATTATAATTCGATAAGTAATTAAAATGAAGTAACAAGTAAAGCATTAATTTTTTTTTAAAGTAATGTTATAATATACTTGATTAGATTGAGTATAGTAGTACATTTTTTTTAATCAATAGGTAAAAAAAAATAATACCCCTCCCGACCACCTTTCCTACAAATATTTTAAATAAACATGTCTTATAATATAACTAAGGTATAGTACATTTATGTTTGGTGTTTGACATTTGGCGAAGATGGGAATATTAATTGTCTTTTCTATGTTCTCCTCCATAACCTTGTTACAATTCAATATGGCAGATATTATAAATGTAAGGCTTGATTTAAAATTTGCAGGGATCGTTGGGTTGAAATTTATCTGGAAATATTACAAGGTATTATAATAATTACAAAATGTCCCTCTTACAATATTTTAAATTACTCCATTATCATTCTAGATTAAATGATGGTTTAAAAAATGATATGAACATGTAGTGTTGTTAATTTGCTTGGTCGTAAAATTTACGCCCTTTTATGTGCTCAGGCCGACCTGGGGTTCAGACCCACCTATGGATTAGACCCGGGGCTCGGATAAATGAAAAGTAAGAAATAATAAATCTTATTTACTAATCTTAAAATAAATCTTATACATTCTAAATTAATAAAGCTTAATCTCATTTTCTTACCATTTAAATATTTGTTTAAATTTGGGGTGCTTTTGATTAAAATGTTTTCCGGCCCAAACCCGAATTTTTTTTTTAAAAAAATTTACCAGCATGGCCAGAATCTATTTAAATATAGAAATTAATTTTTATTTTACTTTCTTTTAACTAAGTATATTTTTTTTATAAACAAATTTCTCCCCCATATAATTTCCGATTACAGTGTAGTGAAACGAGGAATATTATTATTTTTAAATATACAATAAAAGGGGTAAAAAAGTAAAATTTTATTTTAATACATATTGTAATTAAATATGGACAAAAAATAAAGATTAAACGTCATGCATGTTTAAATAATAAAAAAATTTCTAATTTGTGATGAAAAATGGCAAAGTCCGATCATGATGCGTTTTTTTTATATTTTTGAAGTTGTATTAATTATTATTTTTTAGTTATTTACTTTAGATAATTTTTTTTAAGAAAATAATAATTTTATAAAATTAAAATTAAGTAAGTTTTTTTTATATTTTTAAAGTTGTTTATTAATTAAAATTATTATTTTTTTAGTTATTTACTGAAAATGAATGCATCAAAGACAAAGGTGATGAATGGTGGGGAAAATCTAAAGATGGAGGAATCCGGTAAGTGGCCTCGTGGTGTATGTGGGAAAGGAGTTGCTAGAAATTCTATCCAATGCACCCGATGCCAGAAATGGGTACATAATAGATGTAGAGGGAAAAAAGGAAGTTTGATGTTAGGAAGAATGACCTTTATTTGTAGAACATGCATGAAAGGGATACATAATAATGATAACCTAGAAAATGGTGGTCTGGATATTGGCAATGGGTTAACCCTAGAAAAAGTGGATAAGTTTTGTTATTTAGGTGATATGCTAAACGCAGATGGTGGTATAGATTCTGCCGTTGTTGCAAGGACCAGACAAGCTTGGAAGAAGTTCAGAGAGATGTCGTCTATTCTTACAAATAAAAAAGTCTCTTTGAAGTTAAAGGGGAAAGTTTACGTAAGCTGTGTGAGAAGTTGTTTAAAGCGACTCACGAAGCCAAATTAGAAAGAACAGAGATGAAGATGATTAGATGGATGTGCGGGGTATCTCTGAGAGAGAAAAACTAGCAAGGAATTGCGAGCAAGATTAGGTATAGATATGATTGGAATGGTAATGCGACGAAATAGACTAAGATGGTTGAGCATGTGGAACGTATGACAAAAAATGACTGGGTAAAGAGATGCACAATGATTGAAGTAGGAGGATCAAGACCTAGAAGAAGACCTAAGATGACGTGGACAAATGTGATAGCGGCGGATATAAAAAGCATTAAATCTTACAAATATTGATGCTCAGGACCGTCAAAAATGGAAAAGAAAAATCAGAGGGAAAACTGGCCTACCCGGGTAAACCTGGAAATCACCATAAAACGGAGAAGAAGAAGTTATTTACTTAGATAATTTTTTTAAAGAAAATAATAATTTTAAAATTAAAATTAAGTAAGATTTTTTATATTTTTGAAGTTAAGTTTATTATATTATTTTTTTATAAAAGTAAATTGAAGATTTTATATATTTTGATTTCGAGAATAGGCAGGAAAAAAGAGGCTTGTTTATAACCAAATACCCTCGCCCCCTAAATAAAAACGTTCTAAAAATATTCTAAATAATCCATTCAAGTTCAATCTTGCAGAATTTATAAACAAATGTTATCAAATGTTCTTGTTTACCATAAAAATAGCGATGAAATTAAACAAATCCGGCCAGAAAGTTCGTATCTAATTCTAAATTAGGACGGTATAGCTGGAATTAATCGCTTGGCCTACCAACATAATAATTCATTTTATTCTTATTTTTTGGCATTTCTAAGCCCTAAATGGTCCCGATTAAAAAATTTTAACCCTAAGCTGAGTTGCTTGCAGAATTTTACTATCTAAATGCCATATTTTTTTTGAAATATTTGGAATGACATTAATAATCTGGACCCCGAATCTGTGCTTGGGGTTCGTACTCAGAGCTAGTTTGGTCGATTTTTTAGACCCAAACCCCGGGTCTGGGTTTTACACAACCAACCAATTAACAACACTATGAATATCACATTTAATGTTACACAAAGTTAAATTGCCGCTTGATTTTGTAATGCTTAATTAACATTTTCAAAAATAAGAAACAAACAGCTTTGACTGGCTCATATGTTTATTTCTAAATAATATTCTGAGTAACCTTTAGGAATCGTGTAATTCCCGGAGGAACTACCAAAGGTAATTGCATAGAATTATCCAAGCTAAATATTGGGTGCCCGTCAAAATCAATCTTCGAAATTTCAACGCCTATCTGAGAATCTTGGTTAGTGATAGGAAAAGATGTTGAAACTTGTGCGCCCAATTCACAACTCTGGAAAAAATTTATTTGCTCCGGAACTTTCACTAAAAAATTTTATGTAAATAATTATTAATTGATAAACTTAAAATAAACTTCTAAATTGGTATGTTTGAGGTGAGTTTAAAGCATCTCCCCGATTAGCGGGATATTGTGATTGCATAAGATGTGGGTTTTTTTCAACTAAATTAATAATAAAATATTAGGTTCCATCTATTTAATTTATTTCTAAAACCATTTTTTTTTAAATTTTATTTTCAAAATCTGAAAAGGAGAATATAAAAAATACCTATATGTGGGTTAGCACCCTTATAAGGCATTAACACGTTCATGTCATCATCGTCACAACCATTTTCATGGGTTGTGTCCAAATGATGGATCTTTGTTGTTGGCATGAGGTATCTAAGATCTAAGACGTCTCCATTCATGCTAGCTTTATTTAAAAAATCAACATAATTCTCTATTTAATAAATTGTACCATCTTGGTTTGGTCCAAGTCTATTTTCATGAATTGTCGATTGATTAGCTGATAATGTTTCGTTTATTGAATTGTTTACATTATCAGAAAAGTTACGAACTATAATAATCAATTAACATAATTATAATAGTATAAATTATATTATGTCACTTAAAAAAATGAATATTTAGTAAAAGAGAGTAATAATTGGCAATAAGAAATGCACAGGATATTAGATCTGGTACCCTGCATATTTAAATCCGGCTGGAAATTGCAGATTGTTAGCCGGTTCTTAAATATATTTTTTTTATCTAAAATCTAAATGACAAATTAAAAAATAAAATTTCAATTTTTTTTAAATACAGCAAAGACTATCTACTTATAGTGACGGTTTTACTTCGATTTCGTGAGATGGTGAATTCAATAAATGTTTTCAATCCTCTTTATATTAATCACCACTCTATTCTGAATAGTGACCAAAATTCTTTTACATGTAATATTAAAACGATCTCTACACTACCATTTGATAAAATTTTCAAGGTTATTTTACTATTGATAATCGTCCTGCGCCCTATCAACAAAAATTTTTCAAATAATGATTATTACATTACAGCCAAATATAAAATTAGTTAAACAACCATTTGATCAAGGAATAATCAATACAGAAATAATTTATTAAAATTTGTAGTGATTCAATCGTTATCTTTAGATTAAATTTTTATCAACTTTACTAATAGAATAAAAAATAGATGCGCGTTTTTGGATAAGTTTAGCGTGAAATTAAATAAAATCGGATAGAATTATTGGATATTAAAAAACAGGATGTATATTTCGGAGATTGATATATTTATAAACTTAATCCCACTAGATTCCCAATTTATATGAATAAATTCACTATGAAAATATAGAAAAAGACAATTACGTAAGATTACCTTTAATTCTGATAGTAGTTCCGAAGGTGAAATTGAACTTAAGTAGCCATTTACAAAAAGGAAGATATTTTTTAAAAAAAATCCGAATTTGCAAATTGAAGGATATACTGCAGGCGCGTAACCAAGTTTGCAAATTTGCCTGTTCTCGATATCATTTAGGCTAATAAAATTTTCATCCTACCCCCCCCCCCTTCCCATATATATATCATTATAAGGAAGATTTTGAAAGGAAAATTAGCAAAAGTGAATTTTTTAAAATAACGACATAGTGTAAAATTTCTAAATTTTCTTTTAAACATTAAACAAATAAATTATATTTTAGTTTCTTCCTTTCATTAATTTATTATGAAATAAAATTTTTTATATAATTACATATACAATCATAAAATAACCCATCGGATCGGTTTTTTTTAAAGATCGGCCTTATCCAATATCGGTCCAGCCTTAATTAAACTAGATATTAGCAGAAAAAAGGCTTAAAAGTTTATATTTCTTAAATGCCTGCTTAAGTAAAAAGGGCCAATGAGATAAATTTTTAAATTACAATTTATTTACTTATAATAATTTTTTTTATAGATTCTAATATTTTAATAAAACAAATTAATTCTAACTTTAAGTATAAAATACGACGGGAGGGGGGGGGAGGAGGGTAATAAAAAATAAATATAAACATTGTCATTATCTTGAATAAAATATAACTTATAATTTCCTGAGAGGGGATTCAAAAATAAAATAAGATTTCGAGAGCATATCCCCCCGTATCATCTCTTAAAATATGTTTACCTCGTCTACGATAAGTAGATCTCTCAGCGCTTGCTTCTAGAATGCCGTAACTCGGATCTCGTTGGTTTTCATTAAAAGGCGCTAATTTTGAGAACTTGTCATTATCGAATTTATCATTTCGAGTTTTTTTGACAATTATATTTCCATTATATCGTTCTAAAGGGGTTGATATTTTTGAGGCCTTTGAAGCAAAATCTTGGTTGCAATTAGGCATAGTGAAATCGAGTATATTGGACAAGTTTTGTCGTTGGCCATGATCGGCGACGAATTTCCCATTAGAGCTGTTAGTGAGTATATTCGATGAAGGGGTATGGTTCGTACTTCGGAGAACCCGGGCTCCTTATTAATTTATGATAAATAAAGTATTGTTATAAACAGTAATCAATCAATAAATTTTAAATTTGATTTGTTTTTAGATTATTATTACAATTCACTCAGCCTTAAAAAATAATTCATCAATGTTAAAATGTTGGTTTAAAAAAAATATAGAATGATCAACCATATAAAATACTTGAAACACGAGATGGTGTTGACGGCGGCGAAACTTGGAACTTTACTCCAGCTTTATTAGGTATGGCGTGATTACTTTGGTTATTAAGGTCAATATCGCTGTTATCATTGTGCGTTTTTTTAAATTTATAATTAGAATCGCCATAAGGACCGTGATTAATATTCCGATCCATAATATCAGCATTTTGAAAATCTGATTTATTAATAACTTGCTGATCTACCAGGATAGCGTTTACGATGTTAAGTTTTGAATGGGGAGATTTGTTAAAATTTTGCTTCATGCAATGTTTGGAAGTGGAGTCCAGATCGGAAACGTAAAGAGGAAGAGGCGTGTGATCATTCTGAGGCGAGTTTATGGAGAGGCTACCGAACTTGGGCTAATAAAGATTTATTTTATAAAATAGTTCAATGTTATGTAGAGGTCTGCAAGGGTTGTCCGTAGCCCGACCCGAGCCCGGGTTTGGACATAAAAAAATTTTTCGGGCTCAGGTCGGGTTGTAGGAGGTGTCCGACCCGAAGCCCGACCCAATAATTAAATATCCTAAATAATCATTCTAATTCATAATGTCAATCAGAATAAAATGTCAATTTCAATTATTATCTTATATAACATCCGTTTACCAAAATATTTAGTTATTATATTTATGTGCTATTATATACCTTATTTACAACATATTCTATCAGGTTAATTACTATTTATAGACTCAAATTTTCAATATTTAAGATCGTTTGCCAAATCTTAAATTGGTAGAAGACTCAAAATGGCTTTCCCACTTTAAGAGTTTTATCTCTTAAATTCCTGGCTATCCCTGCTTCCTCGGCTAGCAGTGAAAGAGCGCTTTCAGCGGCTGGTAGGGCCTTTGAAGATAGGAGGACTTATTTAAAGTCTGACATACTCGACTCCTCATTATTTATATACCACAATTATTCACTATGTAATACTATTAATAATGATATTGGTTCATTATATCACGCACATTATTTTTATATTATCGCAATAATTTTTAAATTCGATTGTATTTAAACTTTTTTAATATTAAAACTGCGTAAAAGGTAAATGTTTCCAATTTAAATAAAATGCAACTTAATGTAAATATTGATTATATTATGGGGGTCATATAAACTTTTATTTAAGGCAATAAGCATAATTTTTAATTGTTTTTTGGATATTATACCCTCAAATTTTAAAAAATTTAGTTGGGTTCATAATGGGTCGAAAAAAACTTATTCGGGCTCGGGTCGCGATAAAATCACTTTTCAGACTTCTAATGTTATATACCACTATTTTCATATAAAAAATTTTAATAAAATATAATTAGCCTGATCCAGGCGCGTATACAGCGCCCCCCCCCCACCCAAGCCGAAAAATGCAGATGCCGGATATATTTTTTAAAAATATTATTGTTTATATTATATTTTATAATATTTATTCCTATCTCTTTCTTTTTAAATATATATTTAATTATATTTATTTATCACATTCATTTACTTTTATTTTATCAATCAATTTTGATTTAAAGTTTTCCTTGGTGTAATATTTATCTATTATTTTCAAATTTGTAGTGGCGTAATATTTATCTATCATTTTCAAATTTCTAGTCAAATAATAATTATGGACATGAGAAATTTTTTAAATAAATATTGATGATGAAGAAAATCCTAGTCATCCTATAAAAAAGCAAAAAAATACAAATAATTTTATAACATTTTATAATTAACCTAGAAGAAAGACACACTTCTTAAAAAGGTATTAAAAATACCAATGATAAATAATTTATTTAATAATAGATTTATATTCCACCCCACAATTTTCAATATCCACAAACTTTATGTGCTAATCGAAAGTTAAGATTTCATAACAGCTATTTTACTAGATGGTTATGGCTAGCATACTCTATGAAACAATGGAGCGTATTCCAAGATATGTGTCCTGTTTGGTCCAAGATATGCTGAAAGAAATTTAGTTAAGCGTAAGAGTCTTGTTAAAACAAGTACAAAGATGCTGGAGAAATCTTTGATTTTCAAAAAAGAAATTATCACGTGAACTGATGATATCTTCAAATTAATTCAAAGTGGGGATATAATTCCCATTTCATTACATATTGATTAAAATAGCAAAAGAAAATAGATGTAAGATAAAACTAAATATTGAGGTAATTCTATATTGTGGATTGCAGGGCCTAGCATTACGTGGCCATTTGGATTCAGGAAGCTTGAATTTTAATAATAATGATAATGCAGGTAATTTTGGTAGTCTTTTAAAATTTAAAGCATTGGGGGAATCTGCATTAATGGAATACCACAAGTGACAAAATATTTAAACAGAATTATTTCTGAAACTCCTTGTCCAACAAGGCGAAATAAATTACAAAAAGCTTGTTCAACGAGATGGAGTCTTCGCCATAGAGAAGTAACAGCTTTTATAGAGTTAAAAGATACGATTATTAATGCTCTTACTGAAATATAAAGAGATATTTCCATAGGAGCAAGCAAATTATTGAATTCAATACTTATACCAAATTTTTTTTTCTCATTAGAATGCATATTTTACCATACAACTATTTTATGTAATGCTTTTCAAAAACATGACATTGGCTTGATTGAGATGATGAGAATAGCGGTGAGCAATTTATTAGAACTCAAGGAAATTAGGGCTAATGTTGATGAAGAATTTCATATTATATATATTATAGTTGAGTCAAAAGCAGAGCTATAAGAGTTTAATATTTGTCTCCCTCGACTTGCAGCAAGGCAAGCTCATCGTCCAAACTTAATATAGGGTGAGTAGAAGAGTATTATAAAATAAATGTCATTATCCCTCTCTTAGATTCATAACCCAAATAAATGAACGGTTTTTAATTCATCAGGCAGCACTTACCAATCTGCTGATATTACTTCCACAAAAGCCTTACCAACCTTTTTCAGATGGAGAGAGAAAAAATAATAAAATATTTGGCAAATTATCATGAAGATGTTAAAGTATCTTATGATGCCTTATTAGCTGAATGCGAACTATGGTATAAAAGATTAACTATGGTTGATATAGTCCCAAAAAATTCTATGGATGCTTTGCATCATTTCAAACATCTTTTAGATTATTTTCTCAAAGTATTAAAATTATTATATATATTAGCAACACTTCCCATCAATACTGCACCTAATGAGAGAACATTCTCTTCTTTAAGAAGAATAAAAACATACCTAAGAAGTACAACTTCTGAGAGTAGATTGAATGGTTTGGCCCTTTTGAATATTCATAGGCATTTAACGCCAAGCACGGATGAGATAATTGAAAAATTAGCTCAAGCCCAAAGAAGATTGGATTTTACATTATAAATATATAATATGCTTCTTAATAATATTTTTTGTGCAATTTTATTTTTAATGTGTTATATATTTTTTCATGAATACTTTATCACAAAATACAATTATTCCTAAGAAACTTGTGTATTAATTTCCAATATTTAAAAATTTTATACTTTATATATAAATTTTAAAGGCTCAATTAAATTTCTATTTTGGGTCATTTATTTTATAGTGATTCATATGCTGGTTATATCCACTTAATATTTTATATTTCACATTTATTTTATAGTTTTTAATATGCCGGCTTAAATATATAATTTTTTATAATTCACTTTAATTTAAAAATGTGTATCAGAAATAGTTATTAGTACTAATAAATTTATGCTTGATATAATTTAATCTTTATCCCCCCCCCTCACAGCAAATTCCTCAGTATGCGCCTAGCCTGACCCGTTACTATTCACAGAAAATATCAATATTATTTTCATAAAATTTATATTAAAGGAATAAATGTTTTTTATTAAATAAATAAATTTTAATATTCTTTTGGTAGGTGCTGGTTGTAGAGATAAAGAATCATTTAATGAATTTAAAAGAAACCAATTTTTGTGGCAATAAAAATAATAAAATTGTATTCACTTTATCTGAGTTATTTCAAAGAAAGAAGCGGATGCGCAATATATTAAAATTTTAAAAAAATAGTGAGATCGGCTGATATTGGTCAGGGATGTAAACCCTTCATCAAAAAAAACGTTTCGGATTCAGAGTTTTTTTAAAGGGTTCGGGGTTTGGAAGCATAAAATATTGACTCAATATTAATATATTAACTTTTTTTATATATAATACTCCAGTCCAAAATATCAAAAATACGATTCGCAAACTTTTGAAACTTCATAGAAAAAAATAAGCTGTTTTTAAATTTAAAAACATGTCAAATATATATTTCTAGAAAAAATTTTATACTATTTCATTAAAATTTTAAAACTTGTTTTAAAACAATTCGAATTTTTTTAAAAAGATTTTGGACTTAGCCACATATAAACATAATTTACTAGCAAAAAATTTAAAAATTGTTTATCTATTTTTTATATTATTTAATCCAAAGAATACTCAAACAAAATTAATCGTACCAAAACTTTATATTTACATAATTGCTTATATTTTAATTTAATTTCAAAAAATAAATATTTAGAAATATGGATAATATTTTCCTTTCTTGATTTTATGTTTTTGTCTCAATATTTTACTTTGTAAAATTGAGATAAAAACAAGATGAGATGTATTCCTATTATATTATTAGTATGTTAAATTATCATAAAATTTTATTTATAAAATGAAGGCAAAAAACTAAAAATTATGAAAAATGCGATGAAATATTTATTTATCATGACCCCCCGTCACCGGGAAATTAACCTAATTCACAAGGCGCTACTATCAACCAAAATTCCTTCCACTTTAGAACCAGTTGGACTAAATATCTTACAATAAAAGACTAAATGGTGTTACTCTTACGCCTAGGTAAAAAGGCCAATCTTCGGGGGATTATACCTATATAAATGCGTTTGCAAATTCAAACACATAATATGCATCCATTGCAGCAGTAAAATCATCCAAACGCAACAAATATTACCAATTGAAAACGTATTTAAAAATTTTAGGTAAAAAGTTAACAATCACTGGAAATCCCAAAAATTTTTTTATACCTTATACAAAGAATATCTCTCGATATATGGAGGTCCAATTTTATTTCCATCCTCGGCTCTATGCCAGACAACATTTAAAAATATCTTTTATATTTTTAAACTATATGATAAAATGAAATTAAAATTTTTAAAAAGGGTTCGTGCATCGGTTCAACAAAATCGATATGGGCCTTATACCTATATTTGTCAATCGGGATGAGATAAAATCAGAGTGAAAGAAGTAAAGGAGATCAAATGTCGATTCAGTTTCTCTTAAATGTGTTGCTTGAAATTAAAAGAAATGCTAAAATTTGAGATTAAGGAGGGATGCTACTTTGTTTTTTACTTCGCGAGAGATTAGTATTTTCTTATTTCAAAATCGGGGGGGAAGAGGTCTAATGAATGGGAATGGCATTCACAAAATGCCTTCAGATTAAGACAAAACTCAGGCAACCCAATCCTTTAAAAAAAATCAAGTGGACTTGATGACATATATCCTACAATCAATGCATATAGAAAAAATCCTTCGGGTCTCTCATAATATCACGTATTTTGTATTTCTAAATTATAATATAGTAAAAAAGTGGATTAACTTAAATTATTTTTCAAAATCATAAAACAAATATTAGCAAAATAAGAGCATTAAAATTTAAGCTATGCAAAATATTATTTTTAAATCTAACCCTGATCTGACATTTTCGCTCGTCGGTCAGGCCATTCAATCCATCGGTGTTATTTAGGTAGCCTAAAGGCTCGGACCCCAAACGCAAAAAAGAAGAAATGTTATTATATCCAATATTCAAGAGATTTGCCTTATCATTTTGCATAGCGGCAGTTTTTGTAAAGCTTCTAGATTGGCTCTGATCATTGGGAGGTGAGTTTTCTTCTTGATATAAGATTCTACGATCATTTTCGGCGAAACGATAATTTTCGAAATCATTACCCTTGGAAATACTCAGGTTTGATAAATTGCCAAGCTAATAATATTTGTTAAATATTAATTAGTGAACGATATCGAATTTAAAATTTTAAAAAATTTGGTTTATTTAGTAAATTAATAAATATTAATAGAAGCAATTAGGGCTGTGCCGATCCACATATTTTTCACCGATCCTATATTGCTTCTAAACCGATCCAGTATTTATACTGATTTTTAATCACCCCCGTTTGAACCAAATGTAATTAAGAAATCAATATTTTTTATGCAAAAAATCGAATTATGAATTTAATTTAATTTTTTTATTTCTACAATTAAGACTATAATAAAAAAATATAATATTTAATAATAATATATCCATTTTATGTTGGTATGAATTATAAAATTGTAATATATAAAATTATAATATATTAGATTTTTTTAATAAATATGAGAGCCTCCAGATTTTCTGGGAATAAGCTTCTACGATATGGACTATCTATATCTCCTGACGTACTGAAGGCAGACTCAGATTATTCCGCAGATAACGCATTTTGCAAAATTATCTTTGTCTTTTGTAAAATATTTCCATAATTCAGTTTAAAAAAATTCTTTTATTTAAAGTATAAATAAAAAAATTGGCGTTATTAAAAAAGATTTAAATTAAAATAAAATAAATAAAACTTTGGGTGTTCCTTTCCATTTTTATAAAAAAAACTTTTAAAATATAATAAATCTATTTTAAAAAAGAAATAAAATTTAGAAAAATTATTTAGAAAATATTATAAATAATGTAAAAAATATATATAACATAAAATAAAATAACAAAAAATAGAAAAGTAAAAATATCGGATCGGTTTTTATAGGTATCGGCCCAATCCAATATTTTCGGAAAACGTACGATCCGATATTTAATATCGGCACAGCTCTAGAAGCAATGGACACCTTAATGTTTTATTATATAAAAATTACTCATCACAATAGATATCTTTACCTCTACCAATTCTAAATTAGTAACAAAATGACACTTAATATAATTCAACCTAAACTTTGAAAAGGGACCATGTCTAAACAAAATTTAATTTTTTGCAAGGGGCCCTCCAAGGTTATCAGGGGGCTTGAGTCCATTTCGACTCTTCAAACTAATACAATTTAAACCTATCAAAAAATTTATTAATAGATAGCAATATTTAGTCATAGCTTCCTGATTAAATCTTAATAAAAATAAGTGAATAGTCAATTCATCAAAAATTTTACTGAGAAACTGTTATCGTGAGTATTTATTATAGCGAAACCTTTATTGTGAATCCACATTCGCAAATACTATCTCATGAAGATTATATCGCCAATTTTTTATAGCGAAAATCTTATCACAAACTTTTTAAAGTGAATATAAATTTTTTATAACGAAAATCTTATCACAAACTTTTTAAAGTGAATATAAAACAGCGATGGGAAGTAATTAACGCGAAGCCCATATCACTAAGATGAATGTTATATCATTTAAAAATCGTTAACCTAATATCTTATGTTCAAGATTATTTAAGTTTTCATATTATTATTTAAAGTGATATTTTAATTTGAATATTATAAAAGAAATACTCTAACCTATCATGGATATATGCAATTATTACGTTATATATATATGTGGCTAGTTCTTATATTAAAATGCAATATATAATAATTATAGTTAATAGCAGTGGCTTCAATAGCCTATTCCATCTCAGGGAGCTCAACTAAGAAAATTTCATGGTAGGCACCCCCCCCCCCACATACCCCTTATTTTGGGGGCCTTCGGCTCGTATTCCGGCCTTCGGCTTAGTTTCCTTTTAATATTTTATATTATTTTTAGATTAAGATCTGCAAACCCTGAACTAGTAATCTAATTCCCATATTTTACCATTTATTATGCATGTAAAAAAATATTAGGAAAATAAAATAAATACAATAAATTTTGTAAGCTAAGCCAAGATAATATATTATAATACAAAATATTTATTTATTAGGTAACAACTTAAGAGAGGTAACATGATATTTTATTATAATATCAGTGTCAAATAGTTGCAATTGGGGATTAGAAATATATTTTGTGTAAAATCATTCGACTTTATTATAAAAAAAATGTATTGGAATATAAAATATATGTCATTAAATTATTTGACAGAAAAAAACTAAATTCTCTATGCCTATTCATTGTCGCGAATTGGTGGTTTATTTTGAATCAACAGTATAATTATTTATAATATTTTTTCAATGCTCAATAGAGCCAACGAATATAATCGTTCTTGTCCTACAGTTGATAGAAAGCCTATTTTAAAACAGGGGTTAACATTTTCGACAAAAATCTTGCTTGAGCATTCTCAGAAAAATCTTAAATTAAAAAAAAATCTTCATCCTTCAGGAATCAAAAATTGTTATTTTTTTTATTTTCAGAGATAAATATCTTTGAATATTTTTGATTTTGAGCAGTAAGTAAACCCCTAATTAACACGTTTTAATGCCAAAAACAATTTATTATGTGAGCGCGAATTAAAGAGTGGAGTATGCAATTTTAAGGCATTTATATGTCAGGGAATATATCGTTGGTTTTCAATTTTATAATCTAATGGTTCACAATTCAGTTTGTGCTTTTGCTTTTAAGTTAAAATATGAACTTTTAAATTTGTGCATTCTTTCATTGGATCAGGAGGATTATATTGTAAAATAAATGGTTTAATGACATCAGAATATAAATAGGATGGAGGGGAGGGGATTTAATGCGCTTATAGCTTTTAATATATATGCATTTTCTTGGTAAATTTTTTTTAAAATTAATTTATCATAATATCCAAAATTGAATAAAAGCAGCGCTGTAAAGTAAGGTCGGTGAAACTCTTTTTGAGTAATGGTAACGTAAACCGTTACTTTAAATTTTCTCAAAAATATGGCAAATTTTTTATATATTATGATTTTTTTAAATATTAAAAAGAGCCGAGTTTTTAATTCAGATCAACCATCAAAGTTCTTTTTATTCATTACATTTTTATTGTTGAATTTTAGTTTTGCTAATCTAACTAATGTTGAATCAATCAAGGTATCGTTCGTGGGTCTAAAATTGGAGTGCTCCACTTAATATTTTTAAGGTGTTTGAGTTAGGAGTGGATTTTAATTAATTAATATATTTTAAAAACCTAGATTAAAATTTTTAATTTTGATCACTTTAGAGCAGTCAAATTCGTGATTAATGTCCGACTAATTGCATTCGCAATCACTCTAAATTGTTCGTGAAAATAAATTTAAGATAAAGCGTTCGCGATATTGTCTTCGCTGTAAAAGTTTTGCGATATTACTTTCGCAAAATTCCTTCGCGATAAACGCGCGTTAAAAATTCGCGAAAGAGTGTTTTGCAATAAAAGTTTCGCTAAATCGAAAAAGAATTGCAAAAACTTGATCCAGTCCGTAAAAATATTCTGTACTTTTAATTGACTAATAAAAGTTGTGAAGAAATCATACATTTTCCCTCTCTTAAGGCCCTGACCAAAGCGTAAAAAAATTTATTAACCTTCAAAAATGAGAAGTAATAAGCTTTTAACATAGGAAATGTTCAAAATTTATGGACCCATTGAAATTTGGGGTTGATTCCCTGGAATTTACCAATCACTTCTAAACTCTTAACCATTTTATTTTTTTAATTAATATATATGAATAAAAATGCTAAGCAAGCTATCAATAGTTTTATCATTAAAAGTTTTTTGATTAATTTAATGCATATAATAATTTTTCTTGTATATCTAAATTTCACAAATTATTATTTACACACATTTATAAACGCAATATCAGATATATAATTGAAATTGATGAATTTTAATGAATATTTTTAATTTATGGAAGTTGTCAAAGATTATGTTTCTTTTTAAATTTTAGTACTTTTTCAAACTTTGAAATATACTCTAGCTAGGCCCATAGGCTTGACTCTAAGGCTTGGGGCTTACAGATTAAAGACAGAATGTAAGTGTTTTTATTAGCCATTCCACCCACACCTACCTATACTAAAGGTGGGCAGGTTAAAATTAATTTATAAAGCAGGGGTAAAAAATTTTTTTAATGAGTAAGAGGATGGGAATGGTCAGGGTTAGTTTGGACCTATATCTAATAAAAATTAATTCTTCATTTTAAAATATTGAATATTTTATAAGTTAATGTAAACATATATTAAAATAAACTTTCCTTTCTTTTCTTCCTCCTAACCAATATACACCAATACTTTCAACATTAATGGATACCAGTGGCCAATACTCAAAAAAGATAATTATAAATTTTATAAATATTGCTTATATTATGAATTTATAAAAGAAATCTAAAAATTTTTAAACCAAGAATGAAGAAATAGCTACTATTTTTTCCTTATTTTTATTTAATTTATCTGGATAATAGAGTGGTATCCATACATCTCTGGATTTTTTAAAATTAAAAAGTGGGGGTCAAAAAATTAAATGGGTGGGTGGTAGTACTCTAATTTCAAGACCTAAGAGCTTCTCATTATAAATAGTCCCAATTAAGAGAACAATTTTTAAGCCATAGATGATAAAGATTTGTGAATTGAGCAATAAATACTTTATTAATTTTGATAAATTGAACCAAATTTTAATAAAAAAATCTTTTGAAGTTCATTTTATTTAATATTTAAATATGAGAAGTTATTAAAAGTTAATTTCATGTTTTTTAATATTTTAAATAGGGGGAAAAATATTGTATATAATATAATAATAAATGTAATAAAAAAGTTATAGCCATTGTTTGATGTATTCACTCTTTTATCATTTAGTATGCTATGCTAAAATATTATCTGATTAAAATTTTTTTTTCCTGCATTTAACATTTAATATTCCATAGTTAAATAATAAACTAGGACTGTGTCAATATAAAATATTAGAATGGGATTAATATTTTTTAAAAAAACTTATACAATATACTTATTGTTATTGGGTATTTTATCTTTATTTTATTATTTCAAAATAACAATAAATTCATAAAAGGAATTAAAATTCAATTTATTTGCAATGTTAAAAAAAAGATCAAAAGATAGAGTAACTAAAAATTTGATATTTTTTGTTATATTTGCAACAAGAAAAGGAATATAAAATATCTATAAGAAAAGGAACCAAAAATGTCTATTAACTAGTGTCACATTAATCTAGTATTGTTAAATGGCCTGATTTGGTCAATTTTTAAGGATAACTCAAAAAGGCCAAAAGTAAATTATCCAAGCTAGGACACCTATTATTGAAATTTTGAGGCTTATAATATTTTGGCTAAAATCTTGATTGACGTTTTAAAATACTGGATAAATTAAGCAATTTAACAACATTATATTCAGCCATAAAGATTGACCATATTTTAAATATAATTAAGAATAAAAAATAAAATACACTTAATAATCAGAGTTGGGCAGGTCCTCCGAAAAAAGAATCTAGATACAGATACTAGTATCTTTTACAAAATATCAAAAAGATACAAGATAAAAGATACTTGTAACTTTTGCCTAATTAGAGTATCTTAAATACAAGATACTTTTAAATTATCATTATCAATTAAATTAGAATAGTTTATAAAATACAGTTTTTATTATTTATTTTTGAAGAACATAACATATACACATAATAAGAATGAGTATTTGCAATAATTAATAAAATATTTAATGATGAGTTAATTATAATAATCAGGCATTTTAATTAGTAATAGCAGATTCTTAGAATAGATAGGGAAAAGAGACTAGTATTTTTAATGGGAGTTGAAATATTAATTTGCAAAAGAGTATTTAAAATAGATTCATTATTTTATAAGATAATCAAATTTTTCAAATATTTTATCATTAGACCTTGGCCGTTTTGGCCTACTTAACATTGTGCCAAAACTAAATTACCTTTCAACTGGAGCTGATAAAGGTATTGCAGTATTAGATTTATAAAAAATTTCCTTATTGAAAGGATAATAATTAAGCATTTATAATGTATTTCAACTTTCTTTAATATAATAAGCCTCCCATTCAATGTTCTTTGTATTATTGAACTCAGCAACATTTTATTCTTCAAAAGAAAAATAATCGTTAAATGTATCGGTGTTATAGTTTGAGTTTGATTATATACTCTGGTACTACATTTAGGGCTTCTTTTATTAATATATTTTGAGAGTATTTGTTTTTATCATCTGACTCAATTCATAAGTTCTTAAAATATGTATGTGATATTGATGTCAAAAAACCTTATTATATTCAAAACATAGGAAAATATTTTCTTAAAATCAATTTCTCATACAAACTTAAGCAGCTTTTAATAAAGGTAGCAATACTTTCAACTTGAATATTTATGATAACTTATGCATCTTGTTACCACACATAAATAATATACTTTAATATGTTTAACAAAATTTTTTTTTAACCATTTATCCTTTTTTTTTGTTTATACAGGTTTTAAATCTAGCCTGTACATTGTCTTTTTTAACTTTTATTTTTAAATAATTTATATATAAAATTTTAAGATTTTGATTTGATTTACAGGAACTTATTTCCATAATTTAAATTTCACTACCATGAGTGTTAATCATCCTACAAATTAAAAAAATATTACATAAAATTGGTAATGATACTCTATTGAATTACATTTATATATAAAATATAATCTTTACTTATTTTGTTTTGGTGCTGTTATTTTTTATCTATCTACCTTGTGTTATTAAACGGTTCATTTTGAGCTGATTTTTAAAAACGGCTAACTCACTATTTTACACAGAAAGATCTTACGCAAGCCTGAAGATTTTGCCTAAAGAAGGAACAAAGGTCCAGGCATACATTAACAAAATCTCGAAGCTTAGATAATATATTTCTGGTAAAATATTGATAGCCATTTTAAAAAATCGGCTCAAAATGAGCCGTTTGACAAAACTATATCTACCTTAATATGGGTTGTAAATTTTCCAGCTAATTTTGACATTATATTTAAAATATGGTGAAAAAAACTAAGAAAATTAATATAAGATTCTTGAAGAAAATAAGATATATACTGTGATATGTAAAATTTTAAATATGAATTAAAAAGAATCTGTATCTGTATATTTTGTCAAGAAAATAAAAATGATACAAGATTCTTTTCAGAATAAAGAATCTTAGATATTGAAACTAGTATCTTATTAATAATGTCAAAAAAATACTAAGTACAAGATATAAAAGGATCTTGTATCTTAGATACAAGTATTCATGGTACTTCCCAACTCTGTTAATACTTAATGAAAGTTAATTGGCTCTTTTAAATAGAAATTATAATTTTTTGACATTGATTTAAAGATGATGTTATATAAAAATTTAAATATCGAATCAGTATCAGATTGGTTTTGTATTAATACCAAAAATATTTATTTTGATTGGTAAAAAATTTATCAATCAGCACCACCATAAAATATACTTGATTTTTATACATTTTGCAGTCTAAATTCCATGGAGTCATTGTCTAAGATGCTTTGGGCTTTTTTTTTAAAAAATAGACATTTTTAATTATAAAAATAATTTTTTATTAAAAAAATGTTATAAAAACCTACCATGGCAAAATATTTCATTTTGATCATCATTTGTAAAGCACTCTTTGTCAATTCTATGTTCCTTATTAAGATCTGAATAAAAAAATCTATCTAACAATGAATTAGATTCATTTTGGGATTGATTAAATGTGAAAGGATTTACATCTAAATATGGATTTAAACAAATAATTGATAGTAAATAAATATATTACTTTGTTTATTTGAAGTTATTGTTTCATCATCTGATAAGTTTGATTCCAAAGAATCATGAACCAAACTATCATTTAACTCATCTAAATCAGAATCATTTAATTTAATCTCATTTACAGATTCATTGTCTTCATCAATTAGAGAACTATCTTTTAGTTTTTGAAATATACTTATCTGGTTATTTGAATTTACATCCAAATTAGGATGTGAATTATAATTGTTTATATTTGTATAGTCGTTAAATATTTTGTTATTGAAAGACAGGTTATTATTATCAATTATTGAATGATTATTTATATTCTTCATAATATCCAAGGATTTTTCATTTTTGGAATAACTTGCTTGAAAATATATTATTACAAAGAATATAAATAAAATAATTACCTTCATCAATCTCGTTAATAAATTTCAAATCAGATTTATTTAATGCAGATATAGATTTATCAGATGGACAATCAGAAAACTCTTAAATTTATTATTACTTATTAAAGTAATATAATTTCTTAATTACCTGAAAGAGTTTCTGAATGTAATAAGCCTAAAGATGAATTGCTATCTTCATGCATTCGAATCATTTAAAAATCGCGCATCAACTGAAAAGCCTAATGGATAAGTGAAGAGAATGACTTATAAAGAAATAGGGCTAGTGCTAAACCTTAACCTAGTAGATAATAGTAATACTAAATTTAACTGAAAATACAATTTGATAAGATAAATAAAGTAGCTAATTTCCGTAATCCGTGATATATAGCGCATATGCCTTCTGACGTTGAATGAACAATAGAGCTACGCTAGGTTTTCCTCATTTCCATCTAATTGGAACATAAGTTAATTGGGGTGTAGAGTTAAAAAAATATGAGAAGCTCTCTACACGTTTGTAGTCAAGCCACAGTACTTGTACGCGCAACATTTTGAAAAAACGTTACAGACGTCCATAGGCCTTAAGAAAAAGAGCGGGGCAGAAAAAGAGCCTATGCCCAAGAACTGCAGTAAAAGTTAATTATTTTAAAGGTGGGTGGTGGCTGATTTTAAGTTTAAATTCTTTAGGGTAAGTCTTTATGATTGCTAATCAATATTGAGATTTAAGGTTCATAGAATCTAAAATAATGATGATTAAATAAAAAATTTGCCTGGTCAGTATGATATAGTATTATTTTTTTATTGATGATTTATCCATACAATACTGTATTACCACTTATACTTCCAAATCTTCCAAAAATTTATTTTCCAATCAGTAGCTAATTTTAATAAGAACTATCCTGTTGCATAATATAATTTAATATCATAATATACAAAGTTAATTGAAGCCTTAAACTATGACTATTTACATATACAAAAACATTCACTTAATAATATATTATTTTATTTCTACATACAAAGCCTCAAACCATCAATTACCTTAAATTGATTTACTAGATATATATATATATATATTTAAAGTTTTTGACTTATGATGCACGCGATAATTTTACTTGTGAATAAAATATACTTTTTTAACGATTGATATATATATATTTGCGTTTTATTTAAACACTAATAAAAGAATAAATTTAATCGCATTTTTATTATTATTTGGAGATATCGTTATTATTTATTCTAATGCAAGCGAAACCAGACTTATATATTCTTATCCTATTACTTATTCGTTTTAGCGCAACCAGACTTACATATTCTTATTCTACTACCGATTCTTTTTAGCGCAATTATTCTTTATTTGCATCAATTCAAAACTCTTTTACATAGGACTTCTTAGCAATTATGAATGACAGATGTCATGTTATCTCTTCTTTATGTGAGTGAGCTTAGTATGTTCAAATATTTTTAAAATTATCTGCATGTCAAATTTTTATGAAGAAATTTTAGGAATTGATCCTCTCAAATTAAATTCCTATGTTCATAAAGAAGTATTCATTATCCTCAAAAATGAAACAAAATATAATGGCAAAATATATACCATAGACCCTGTTTCAGAAAGGTTATAAATATATATTTAGTTGATATGTTATAGGAGAAAATTTCTAGCCATTCCTTAAAATAATAATAATATGATAATTTATATATATATATTGGTGTATTTAAATTTTTTTAAATGGTAAATATCCTCAATTTGATATTTAACAGAATATCATAAAGGTTTATGACAGTTTGAAATTCTTAGGGTAAGTATCCTATACTTGCTGGAATAGATGCCTGATAAAATCACATTTTTGAAAAATAAAAAATTATCACAAATAAAGGATTTAAAGTTGGAAAAATGACACTGGTGGAAGCATATATTGATGCTAATTGCCAATGTATTTTCAGAAGCATAATATAATTTATATTGAGATTTGTAATGAAAATAATTTACTTGAAATTATTAAATTTATAAATAAAAAGTTTAACCTCCTCTAATAAATACATAATCATCTAAATTCAATTCTTAAACCAATTTTTTTTAATATTAACAAATTATACTATTTTAAAAAATTTAAGAGTTTTATATGTTAAAATGACATAAATTTTTTGAAAATTATATCTTAATAAAGTATGCAACCAAGATAATTATGTGAGTAGTATAAGAATGGAATATATATTAATATAAAAAAAATTGGTTCCTGAACTTCTTTTCCAAAGAAGATTGACCCATCAATATTTTTTTATTTTATATATAAATTTTAAGTAGATTTTTTACCTTTATTTGATGTCAGAAATTTTCCTATGTTATGAGGTGTGATTTATAAATTTATATTTTTTTAAAACTCATTAAGCAAGAATATATTTTTTATATTATAAATTACAAATACAAATGAATAAAAATTTATTTTAAAAGATTTTTTTATTTTGCACATAAATTAAAATTACTAACCATATACTTCATAAACATATTTTATAAAAAATAATGGAAAATTTTGAATAACTCCTCATCTAAATAAATATAAATTATATATTTTGTAAACATGTTAAATTAAAATTTCTGAAGATGTACCATAAGAAAGTGACAATTATCATAATCGTTATTTTTTAACTTTTTCGAATTTTTTTTAGACAAATGGGTAAAATATATTTTGCAAACATGTTAAATTAAAATATCGTTGAAGATGTACCATAGGAAAGTGACAATTGTCATTTTTGAACTTTTTTCAATTTAATTGAAGAAGATAGATAAAAATATATACTGTAAACATGTTAAATCAATTTTTCAGTGATGAAAAACCTTGAAAAAATTAAAATAGCCATGTTGATAATTTTTTTGGAATATTATGAAGAAAATAAAAAAATTTCGATGTATTGTAAAAAGTGGTTAATAAGACACTACTTTATTGAAAAAATAGTGGAAACTCTTATAAAAACAGGCTTTGAAATACTAATTATAAATAAAATCAGTTTTCCAAAAATAAATAAGTATTTATAGTTTGCCACCATGAATCTTTTTCTCGAGTTCTTCTACACTAAATATTAATATAACATGTTTTACAAATAAGATTAATACTATTTGATTAAATAGAGTTTAAAAATAATTATGACTTTTATCACTTTTCTATGGCTTTTATTGAAATTTTAATTAACTAGTTTATAATTTATATTTTAACAATTTTCTTCAAAATATTCCAAAAAAATTATCAACATGGCTATTTTAATTTTTTCAAGGTTTTTCATCACTGAAAAATTGATTTAACATGTTTACAGTATATATTTTTCTATCTGCTTCAATTAAATTGAAAAAGATTCAAAAATGACGATTATGACAATTGTCACTTTTCTATGGTACATCTTCAACGATATTTTAATTTAACATGTTTGCAAAATATATTTTTACCCATTTGTCTAAAAAAAGTTTAAAAATGACGATTATGATAATTGTCACTTTCCTATGGTACATCTTCAATGAAATTTTAATTTAACATGTTTACAAAATCTATTTTTATTCATTTGCTTAAAAAAATTCAAAAAAGTTCAAAAATGACGATTATGGCAATTGTCACTTTCCTATGGTACATCTTCAATGAAATTTTAATTTAACATGTTTACAAAATATATTTTTACCCATTTGCCTTAAAAAAGTTCAAAAATGACGATTATGACAATTGTCACTTTCCTATGATACATCTTCAATGAAATTTTAATTTAACATGTTTACAAAATATATTTTTACCCATTTGCCTTAAAAAAGTTCAAAAATGACGATTATGACAATTGTCACTTTCCTATGGTACATCTTCAATGAAATTTTAATTTAACATGTTTACAAAATATATTTTTACCTATTTGCCTTAAAAAAATTCAAAAAGTTCAAAAATGACGATTATGACAATTGTCACTTTCCCATGGTACATCTTCAATCAAATTTTAATTTAACATGTTTACAAAGTATATTTTTACCCATTTGCCTTAAAAAAATTCAAAAAAGTTCAAAAATGACGATTATGACAATTGTCACTTTCCTATGGTACATCTTCAATGAGATTATAATTTAAAATGTTTACAAAATATATTTTTACCCATTTATCTTAAAATAATTCAAAAAAGTTCAAAAATGATGATTATGACAATTGTCACTTTCCTATACATCTTCAATGAAATTTTAATTTAACATGTTTACAAGATATATTTTTACCCATTTGCCTTAAAAAAGTTCAAAAATGACGATAATGACAATTGTCACTTTCCTATTGTACATCTTCAATGAAATTTTAATTTAATATGTTTGCAAAATATATTTTTACATATTTGCCATAAAAAATAAACTTCAAGTCTGAGTCGAAAAAAACGACCAAATTTCAAGTCTGAGTCGTAAAAAACGACCCAAACTTCAAGTCTGAGTCGAAAAAACGACCCATATTTTGGGTCGAGGTCGTTTTTTTCGGCTTGGACTCGGATCAAGGTCGAAAAAAACGACCCGAACTTTGGGTCGGGGTCGCGAGTCGCGGCGTTTTAACAACACTATCCAGTACAGTTAATTTGCATCCACTGTTTAGCAGTAAAATTTACCCTACTGTCAGGGCCCATTTAATTAAAGAGGTATTATTGTATCTCTTATGGATAAGCCAGGATCCACTGATTGACAGTATTTTACATAGATTATTGGTAAGAATAGAGAAATAAGAAAATATATAATTAATAAATAGTGTGCTTATCTTTTTAGATAATTTGTTTCAATAGATTAGTTAATATTATGGTAATCATTATTTATAGGTTTTAAAATGATTATATAAATATGAATTCATAGTTGTAACAAAATCAAGTATATTTGATGGTAAATCTAGAAATAAAATTAATAAATGATTATAAAAAAAATTTATTTATTTATTCTGTGAAAGTTAATATGGTGTATCATTGCATTTAATCATTAATAGTTTATTATCATATTAATTACATATTAATCTTGTAAATTTCGCAGACGATAATTTTTTCCAGTGAGTCCTTAATTCTTCCATCAAGTTTATTCTGAAATCTGGGTATATATTTGCATACCATAATAATATTAGCACAGAGTTTTCCATATGATTTATAAATTGAAATACTAGCTAAATTGAATGAATGTTGAATTTGGTATGGTGATTACCATTGAATTGATTACACTATAATCATTTTTATTACAAATATTTTTTAAAATAACCCTTTCGCTAAATTTGATTAACGTTTTTTGAGGATTATTATGATATGCAAAAGCCATATTTTATTATACAGATTTTATTTCCTCCAACCCTTATGAAATTTAAAAAAATGGAATCTCCTATATTTTAAAATTGTTGAACCTTTGTTTTGTCATGATTTCACCCCTAAGGGTTTCCCAGTGCCAGCTGATCAATAAAGATTAATTTATTTAAATCACCCTAATTTTTTTAAAAAGTGATTTACATCAATATTTTATTAATATAATTCGAATTACTAAATTTATTCAAAATACTTAATATAATGTAAAACAAAAACCTATATCATTTCAGAATTAAATAATTTTTATATGAAAAATACTAAATTGTACTAGTAAGTATTACATATTAGATTTTAAAAAAAATTCTTGATTTATTTAGATTTTCATTGTTTTAATTTTTGACATAATTTATAATTATATAATTCTAATCTCAATGTAGTATGAAATTATTTAATATTCTAAATATAAAACCTAAGCTAAGATAATTAATGTAGTATCTGTTTTTCTTTACAATAAAAAAAATAATTTGTTTGTTAAATTAAAAAATGATTTTAATAATAATATATTAATAATGATCAGCAATATTCACATCCTAGACATTGGTATTTGAATTTAATTGTGTAAAAGAAAACTAGTTTTGAGGGGGGATTTTTAATTTTTGGGACATACTAAACAATTGACAAAACAAATATTCAAAATTATTTTTAATTAAGGGAATGTAACGAATACTACCTTAATATTTCAAATTCGGCAAATATATCAGGAAAAATGGGAAATAACAATAGCTAAAATAATAATAAACCTCTATTATTTTATTAGTCAAAAAAATAATATTTTAAATTTGGTTTAACAGTTATTTGAGTACATTCATAATATTATTCGTTTTAGAAAATATTGAATGATTTTCTTTCTGATTTACTGATATCGACTACTTACATTTTTTTAAATATGCACATATCGAATTTTTCATTTAGAGTCGACTTTTTATTTGACAAAATATCAAATTATCTCATGACTTATCAATATATATATTTTTTAGAAACTTCCTGACCAAGTCTCCTGTATTTTATTTGCAAGGTAATATTATAATAAGGTTTAAAAAATGATTGTAGGAATCCGAATCTGTATTTCTCTAGCATTAGAATTTATATCAAATCAAAAAAATCACAAATTTTGCTACCCTAATGCCAACTGACTGTTCTGGTGCCTTATCGTATAAACACACCGATTCGTTGCCTCATAAGTTCTAATTTTTTTTTTTGAAAATGAAAATCTATTTTCAATTATATTTTTTGAAGCATCCATAATAAAAAAATATGTTTCTGTCTGAATTTCTATTTAGAATCATAATAGGGCCATCATATCATTCATAGTCACATTCTTTTTCTAATTATGCTTTTTGAACATTTTGACTAAAGTTGGAGACTGCAAAATGTAAATTTTTCTCCACGGTTTTTCGGCAATTTTTATTTCTAGACCTGTTGCACGAGGTTCGAATTTTCAAAAACTCATAAAAATTTTATGCATCACATTTAGATATTCAGCAATAATTTTGATAATTTAATTATATTTATTTATTTTGTTTTATAAATGGCATAAGAAAATGAATATTAAGATTTTTTTTAAAAAAAACCTTTCTTATTTAGAGTCTAAATTAATATATTTTCATTTGTTTAATAATTTTGGAAAACCCAAGAGTATATTAACACCATATTTAAATTACTCAAACTATTTTTGTCTTTTGCTTCTGCCATACAATTCCAAATAGAGAGGATAGAAAGAGAAAAAGTTTATATTAATATTTTTTCAATATAGAATAATTTGAACTTCCATTTGCTTAAGTACTTTCATTAATACCAGCTTCCGGTCACTTTATTTATCAATTTATAGATAATTATTTTTTTACAAACATTGACCACAGGTGCATATTTAATATTTATTAGTTTGCCTAAAATAGGATTTTCTTTAAAGATTACTTGATTAATAAAAAAAATTGTAGGATTTAACTAATTTTGGTAACATTTTATAGTTTTTGGTGACAAATGTTTTGTTTACGCTATTTTATAAATAATTTTTCCAAGTTTACGGATACGACCCTTATAAATTATAAAAAACGTATATATATAATAAAAAGGGGCCAATCTTTTGGAAGTAATTTTCCTGGGGAGGTGGAATGGTTGTATAATTTTTAATTGAATAAATGATAATTTTAATTTAAATATTTTTATTGCAGTGTTATAGCAGTCGATGACCAAGATAAATCCCAAACTAAAATCTACTGTTTTCCGGGTCATGCTGTGGCATCTATAGAAATAAAAAGAGAACTAACTAGTCACGAGATTAAAGAATTAGAACTAATCTTCGAGCCAAGCTTAGCTACAAATTACAGCGAAAGTGAGATCGACGATCGCAGAACTCAAGTTGAAACGTTTTTAAAAAGTCGTATGATCCCTGTTTCATTTATCGGCTCACACTGTGAAACCTTTTCACTTTTTGACGGGATATTATTGATTCAACCACCTTATGATATTGATAATTGCCAAAGTGAAAATCTGATCGTTTTAAAGCAGATTCAAAGAATGATGAAAGAATTAAAGCTATAAATAACTTTAAATTATTACGCTTATAATATAAATTTTTAAAATTATTTCTACTATTATATATATTGTATCATAAACTTATAAGATAAATATAGTGTATAAATAAATCTATTATTTTTTTGGTGATGGCCTTAAATGTATATTGAATTATCATATTTAATATATGGAAATTCACATTCATTGAAAATTTTAATCATGATTTAACTGAAAGAAAATTATTGGTATAATTTAAATAAAATATCTGGAGTGAGAAAAAATGCTTACCATTTAAAAAATTCGACTAGGCCTGAAAAATTACAATACAATACCGGGCTTTAAAAAATGTTTTATAACTAGTTGGAATCGCATTTTGCTACTCATATATTCAATTTCCTTTTTAAACAATTTGCAATATACAGTTAAAATTTTTGAAAATGACTAAATTTCAAAAATCTAGGCCATAAGTCCAGCTGGGATTTAAAAAACTCGGACCGAATCAAATATTTTTTTTAAAATCGACTGGGCTTTACTTTAATTTAAATAGAAATTTATTAAATCCAGATCAGTCCTAAAAATTAGACCTTTGCAGGTTTTTGATTTAAATTTAATTAGGTAAGGAGGATATTTGAAGAATTCAAGAAGACATAATTGGTATTGAATAAATATTCCGATATTATAAAAACAATAAAAATTGCATACTTTTAAACAATATAAAATTAAAGTTTTCATAGCTATAGTTGGTGCGAAAGTATTTATCTGGCACAGCTTTTAGGTTATATGGATTTCAGTATAATTCTATCCCTAAAAGTATATTTTATTTGGTAATAAATAAATATAGAAGCCTTGTCTCTATATGCAATTAGCATTTGATTGAATTGAATAAAGATCCATTGATGAACATTGTGTTTTTACAAATTTTCAATAAAAATGGAAAATATTTCTATGAGCTGACTGTTTTATTTCAAAAAAATATTACCCCCTCCCCCAATAAACAGTTTCCCTCACCCACAACTTAAAATTCCTGTCTACGGGTCTGTCAGGGCGAATTTAGTTACACTTCTGATTTCTATTATAACTAAAATTTTTCCAAATATATTTAAAACATTCAATTGCTAAAATAATTTTAAAAAATTCAAAAGTGACGATTATATGATAATTTTCAATTTTGTAAATTAATTTATCACTGAAATTTTACCAAAATATATTTAAAATATTGATTTTAAACTAGGTTAAAAATTTTAAAATGACTATTATGTATGACTATTGTAACCATTATATGCATATCGGGAAATTATAACAAAATTTATTTAAAATTTTTTTTAAAATTATTTTCGCCAAATAATAAATAATAAAGTTTTAAAATGTATTTTTTTATGTCGTTTTGCAACTTTACACCCAGAATAAAATAAAATCTGTTACTGATTTAAAAATATTTCACTATATATTATAAAAATTAATCTCCAATTTAATTAATATTTTTTGTGTAATTTCAAATTTTTGATTTAGTTTTACTTGTCTGTCATTTTGCATAGTTTAGCAATAATTTTAGTATTTAGTAATGCCGATATTCAAGTGATATCCGTGGAGTCACATGATTGGCTTGTTCAACTGATAATTGCACTTAGACTAACCTACTTTTGATATTGAAGAAATAATTTTTGTACTGATTATTTATCTTATAGTGCTAATATCTTTGAATTCCGAAATTTACTTATAAGGACATCAATTCATTACGATCATTTTAAGGTTAACATCCTTTAAACTTAAAATTAGTGATTTCAGCATCTTTATACTAAGGAAATGGGTGGCTTGGCATTCCTCTTTAATTAGCTTCCTTAGCTAGACTTTTATAATCTAGAGGGTCTTAAGAGCTTATAGCAAAACAACGCATTACTCTACCAAATCCTCTTTCTGTCCTAGCTTTAGAAGAATAGAAAAACAGATTATCCTTCTTTTGGTTATTTGCATTGAACACAAAGCCTTTAATTATTAAATTTAGTAAAATATCTGAGATTGCTTTGGAAGGGGGGGGGAATTCATGTAGGATTATCAGCGTCTACATGATGGGATATTCGCTATATGTAAACCCCCCTCAAAAATCAATACCTAGCCCCCCCCCTCCCCAGAGTTGTTAAAGTAGCGGGCTATCTTTTTTGGTAGCTATAGCTAATAGCCGCTACTTTTTTTTAAAATTATTTAATTTTTTAGCACGCTACTTTTTTTAAAAGTAGCTAAGTAGCGCGCTACTTTTAAAAAATATAATGAATGTAAGTATAAACATGAAAATTTAAATATAATATCATAATTAATTATAATTTTTATAATTTATTATTTAATTTTGAAATTTAAATATATTTTTAATTTATATTTATAATCTGTGTTAATAATCTAAAATGGCATCTCCCATGGATATCCAAATCCTTGAAAGTGATTCAGACATGGAAGATTTAATGGAAGAAAATGTACTTAATAGCTCTAATAACGATTTCCCATTCCCTAGATTTGAAAAATTTTTTTAAACAAATATTAAAACAAAATCTGGATTCAAATTCCTGTGCTTAAAATGTAAAAAAAATATATCATCAAATCAATCGAGTAGCTATAACCTGAACACCTAAAGGTAAATTGTTATTTTTACATTATAATATTATTTATTTTATTAGACAGTTCACGCCAATTGCTATAAGGAAATAGAGAAACATATAAAAAATTTTGGTGTAAGAGAATCTTCATTCAAAAAGACAAATACTATCCAAACCAAATTAACTGATAATAAATATGCCAATATTTCACAAAAATTGGCTGATAAAGTAATTGTTGATTTTATTATTGACACAGTTCAGCCATTGTCCTTGGTTGATAATCCATCATTTACTATGATGATTAAAACTTTATCCCCTGGCACAACAGTTTTATGTCGCCAGACACTTATGAATAAAATAGCCGACAACTTCAACGTGATGAAAGATGCTCTAATAGTAGAGTTATCAGATATATCTTATGTATGTACACCGGCAGATAGTTGGACACATAACAGAAGGTAAAAACTTATTTATATTTATAAATTGATCTGATTAAATATTTTTAGAGCTTCCTTGCCCTCAAGTGCTAGTGTCGAGAGATTATTTAGCAAAGCAAAGCTTATACTTTCTGATCGTCACTCTAGACTTGGGGATGATAATATTGAAATGATATTATTATTAAAATGCAACAAATTAAAATAAATATTTATTTATATTGCTTATTTTTTTTATAATCTAAACTAACTATATTTTTATATTTATAAATGTTGATTTTTATATATTATTTATTATACATTTACATTATAAGCAAAAAAAAATAAAAAAAATTTGTTTCATTTGTTTCTAAAATTTTTTTTATAAAAAGTAGCTAAAGCTAATAGCTATAGCGGTAGCGCGCTATTTTTAAAAATAGCGTTTAATAACTCTGCCCCCCCCCCTTCCCTAAAAAATATCGCCTTAGGCGGTGATATTTCTACATTATAAATTATACCTTTATAATTATAATACTCCCTTAATAAATTTTAAAAAGAATAATTTAAATTATTAATGCTCTACTAACAACTATCAAAATATTGTGAACATAAAAGAGTTATTTTTTAGAACATGAATTCAATTTAAAAACTCACATTTACAATGAATGCATTATTATAGTATATTGTTTAGATGAATATGGGTTTATAGATAGAATCTCTAACCTTTTTAAATTAATTTCAATAGGATAGCAGAAACTGATTCAGAAATTGTTTTATTTGGAAAATGATTGTGTGCGATATATAGATTTGGTCAATGTTTAGCAAAATTAATGTTTTATATTAGGTCTATAATAAAGGTATTAATGTTTACAGCAATACATTTTGCCCTATTTCATCTATCAGTTTAATAGATAATCTTCTAATAAATTTATGCTATCCCGAGTCTACTCCCTTCAAAAAAAATTGGTTGCAAACTGTTCCTACCCACACCTCTCATGTAGAATTATTCATGTATTACCGAGTTTCCTTCAGCCTTAAATTCTGATTATGTCGATTCATCTGAGAATTTCAAAATAAAATTATTTTTTTTAGATTTTTCATCAAGATTCCTATTCATTCCTCTTATTTCTAATATTTTTGCACACTCTGAAAACAATATTTTTTATTAGATATATTTAGATTTTTATAACGTTATCATTTTTTGTTATAAACAGAGACATGGAATGGAACTTTGAGTAAATCTATAGAACGGAACAGGAACGGTCTCAGAAGTTCCTAAAAATAAATTTCATTTCCATAAATTAAAAAAATAAAAATTTTTAATCCATTTAACAAATGCATATATTAAGTCCTTTTTGTTTTATAATAATAATAATTAATAATCATATTGAACTATACAATACTAGCAAAGTAATAACAATTAACAAACAAGTAGTAAATTAAAAGGTTAAAAGATGGGGAAACATTTTTATCAAGTTTAAAAATTTTATTTAACTATTTTTTTGTATAAAATTAATTTTTTTCTTGTTAAATAAAATTTTAACTGGACAATTTTATTTTTCATAATAATAAATCATCCAAATGCCGACATTGTGAAAAGATAAAAAAAAAACTTAGCATATTTACAAAAAAGATGATATTTTCACCTATAAAAAGTTTTCGAGGTCTAGATGAATCAAAAAATTTGCTAGAATACTGGGAATTCAATAAAATAATATATCCTATCCTGTATGAATTGATCCAAATCGTATTAGCAACTCCATGGAGCCACGTAAGTGTTGAACGTTGTTTTTCGACACTAACCATAAAGAACCAATAATGATATTCTTTTAGAAAATATATTATTGCTTTGATGTAATAATTGATTAATTCAATGATTAAATAAAGATAAATTAAAAATATGTAGATTTAGAAAATATATTGATTGGAACCGGAACGAAGCAATTTTTTGACCGGAGAGGGAAGGTAAAAATTCCTTTGTTACGGATCCCTGGTTATAAATAATATAATAATTTATAATAAATTTTGTTCATTTGGTATTACATTTATTTATATTTGTTTTGTATTAACCATATATCAAATATGCAATATTTTGAAATAAAGAATAATAAATTTTAAAAGAATATGATAAAAATTTTAAAAAGCGA